AAAAACCAAGAATAGCGCAACCATTGATGGTTTAATGCTCTTCCCTTCTCAATTCGCATTCTCACTAACATGAAATACGTGCATCATTACTAATTAGCAATGTATGAAATGATAATTTTGAATCTAACATATATATATCTGCCAACTTTATTAAACACTCTTCCCTCTGGAAATATGCATTTTATCAACATGATACTGGATGGAAGCCGTTATTATTTTAAAAAAAAGTCTTTACAATTTGAGGATTTTTTTTATAATAAATTAAATTCTGATTTATTCACATGTCCAATGACAATGTGTAATGTAAGCGTTGGCAGAGTTGTGAGGGCGATACTTGGACCAATTTACCTAAAAGATATATCATGAATTTTGGAAAATACTAATTGAAACTCTTGCTTGGGAGTTTGCTAAGGTTTCCGTGTAAAATAGGTTGATATGTCAGTTCAATGCTTACAATTTTGGATACGCCTACAATTTTGGAACGATTGTTAAATGTTAAACGAGTATAATGAAATGTTCTTTGTTGTCTGAAAGCACTGATAGGCGGTAGTTTGGTTTGCAAAATTAAAATCAAAGCAGCTTTTTAGCTCCATATTTGGTGAAGTCATTAACGAAGTAGTATATATGCGCGCATTATTATGACACGATAGCGTTGGCTTGCTTGCGTGGGTTATATTCCACACAATGCGGGTGCTGAAACGGTGATTAACGTTGATGATTTACCGGTCGAATATATTCCTTTCACGCGCCGGTTGAAACCAATTTGATTCTCTGAATTGATGCCCACACGGCGCAAGCCAAGGATCTCTGGGAATGCACATGCAATGTTACATATAGACATAGCAATCATATTGGACGAGAAAAGCACTGGAATCATATTGGCCTAATTTGTCGTAATTCATGTGTCTTAATTCGTTGTAATTTGTCATCTCACTCATATGAAATCCCAGTTTTACGATTCCGACATGCGAGTAACGACGAAAGAATTATGACATTAAACATGAAAACTAAGCCGCTGTGTGCTGTTCATTGCAATTCGTCATGATTCGCATGTCATAATGTTGTTAATAAGTAGTAATTTGTTGAAACGCGAGATCCGACCGTTGTGGGAACCAAACTGCAACGAATTACGACTAATGAATTGCCCACGAAAAACGACAATTGTGACATGTTTTAAAATCAGAGCCAGCCTTTTACGAAAGATACCATTCGCAGGTTACTCAGGGTCAATTAACGCTAAACATTGATGAAACTATATTCTTTGCATGTTTTTGTATTTCTACATAGCTGTTAGCCTTGACCTTGGACTAGGCCATTGGAAATTGGAACATGATGACGTGGGGCAGTTTAATTTAAATTTTTTTCGCCCAGGTTTCAGCAAAATAGTTCAGCGCAAACATATTCCGGCTGACAATTTTGAAAAGAAATCTTTAAAAAATAATAAAAAAAACATTGTTAAGAATGTCGCGATGGTAGATCTCTCATTTTTTTTTAATTTTGGCATGAAAACATCGACCTTATATTTCCATACTCTTATTTACGGACAAAGTTAAAGAATAGCAAAGTCTTCTGGTTCATCAATTTCATTTGAGCACCGCATGAAAGTTGTAAATCTTAAAAATCATATGCGGGGGATAATCGCTATACACGTGCATACCCTCCGGCATTCAATAATGTTGACGTCATACAGTTGTCAGTAATATTTAGAACGCTGTAGCTATATAATTTATCCTTCCATAGGAAAAAATCCTTTTTTAAATAACTATGTAATCAGTCACCAATTAGGGTGTATATTGCACGAATATTGAACTATGCAATCCCTTTTTTGAGGTATACCGACTTTAAAAATATCCCAAATTATATATACCTACATATAAGTTATATTGTACATGTATTTGACAAAAGGCTGTGTTTTTTTTCTCCTAGAACTAGCTATTAATAATATAATAATTTGTAGTACTTTGTACTAGCAATGCCATAAGCTTAGTAGATTTGTAATCCTTTGTAATCCTTGGACAGACCAAAACAGAGTATTGAGAAAAGTATTTTTAAAACGTGTGTCACATGCTTGTCGCTTGATGACTGTGCGCAAACGTGATGGCCCAATACTGGCTATATATCAGTAGTTTCCGCTGAGTAATATTATAGGTATAAAATATTCTTCGCAAAGATCGCGCGTTTATAACGAGAATGTTCTGTTTCTATATTAAAATATTATCTATAGACTGATATCTCGGCATGCACGTGATGGTCCCCAATCCAATATATAGGTATCCATATATAGGTATCATTGTGCGGTATTCTACAATGAATAGTGTGTTTTTTCAACTGTGACCTGTATTTTATATTATGTTCTATTTTTATTTCACGAGCCAAAACGCAGGAATTTATCTCTTTGATCCCCGGACACATATCTGTGAGATATAGATCAATTTAATGGCTATTACCGCTGTCATCATGGCCTTATCATGACCATACAAACTAACTATATGTTTATAGTATGTTTAGCCTGTTCGATTCATGATAATCGTTGGGTGAAACGAATCTTTTTAAATTTTTGATTAATGAATAATTAATCATTGGTAGTTATCATCTTTTGTTTACTCAATATTTGACCGAGGCATATCATCGATTAACTAATACTTTTGTCCTAAATATATTATTAAGGCAAACTTTTCTCCCCGAATAAAACAAACCTCTTCTCTTGAGGAATGGTCACCTGGAAAAACTTTTATAATTTAGTGGCAGAAAATCTGGTGAAGAATAACGTTATAGGCCTATAGTACTTCGCATAGTTACTATCAGTAAACCATAAAAACCGCGTCATTTGGAAAAAGTTTTCAAGTGCAGTTAATGGCTTCGAGAGTACAGCAAAAACAATAATTTTTTTATTACAGTCTTATCATACAAGCTGGCTGCACAAGTCACTGAGGGAACATTATGTGATATGTAATCTTATAAAATATATCTTTTAGGCCGAGCTCGTGAGATTAACTCTTATACTTCCTTAGATCATAAAGTACATATCCAACTATATTATTTTATTTAATCGCGTGATAGTACTTTCATGAAGGATCGGAATGGAAAAAAAATTTTTTAAGTATCATATCAGACAATATTTTATCGAAGTTTTATAAAATAAAACCAACAAAAACTTTTCATCCTTGAAAGTAGCTATACTCTTTGATAATATTTTATCGAAGTTTTATAAGATGAAACCGACAAAAACTTTTCATCCTTGAAAGTATACTCTTTGATAATATTTTATCGAAGTTTTATAAGATGAAACCGACAAAAACTTTTCATCCTTGAAATATACTCTTTGATTAGTTTTTCAATAATTATTATGTATATAAAAAATATTAAACAATTATTGGATGACGCTGAGCAGGATATCCAGAATAATGAAGTCAATGACAATGTTATCTGCCGAAGCCGAAGGCCTGGATGATTCTGGATATCCAGCGTCAGCGAAAGCCGAATTCAATAATTGTTTTATTATTCATTGGAGTTTGAAAAACAAGCACATGCATGAGCAGTGAACAAATCGTAAATATTCAAAACAAATTTTTTAGTCGTATTTAAAAAATTTTCAATAATTATATTCAATTTTTAAAAATAGTATTTTGTAGACTTCTTCCTGTTTTTCGAGTCTTTGTTAGCGAGTAATTTTTCCATTTCCTGCCTTGAAACATTTCCTGCCTTGAAATGAGCACTCGTGCTTGCAGCCATTGTAAATTTTATACGATACCGCTGTTAAACGGTGGGCGCGGATCAATAACCTCTACAGATTCTACAGATACAGATAATAACCTAACCGCTGAAAAATACGGCGGCCACCGACCACCGACAGATATCTGAAATTATCCGTATATTTTCAGCCAATCAGCAGACGATTGCACTATCTGATGAAAAATAATAATTATTATTATGTATATGAAAATATTTATTGGCTAGGCTTACACACAGTCGTTTAATGAACACGGTTCGTGCCTTACTCAACCACCCCACTTCATACACAATTTTACATAGCTTTTGGCAAAATCATAATTAAACCCCTAACAATCCACAACAGCTAGGAATTCCGGCTCTGTGTTAATCAAAATTAATTCCTAACAGACAATCAACAATGCCTGTTTTTCAATGTACTTGAAATTAAATTACTCTTTCTGGAAATTATAAAAGTAATAAGACTACATTGAAGCAAACGAAAAATGATAATCCTTCAGAAAATTTGTTGACGAATACGAGAGTTACGTTGGCCCAGTCACCTGCGTGCACTATTGCGCGGTAGTATGCCCAGCCCAGCTGCCTGTTTCAAGAGAATATTCTAGCCTGTTCATTCTGCCTAATATTCTTTTGTTTATTTCGATCGATCTATTTGTTTAATAAAAAATAAATTAAGGAATTCTGCTTCAACTATCGAATACTCTCGAGAAAGTATTATATAATATAGGTCACTAGGAAACATATTGTTCCTGCCGTAAACTTCTTTTTAAACGTTTCATCAACTGTATAGAGAGAGAGAGCCTTCTTCAAATTCAATATCTTCTCCATTTTGAAGATTTTTATTAATTAAAATTGGTTTAACAAGAACCTCGTTTCCAGGCTTTCGTTGTCTTTATCCTACTCTTTCCATGTGAACCCTTTTATTCCCCACTCGATTTCCCTATATCGCTACACATTAATCCCCAGCCCTCCAACAGACGGCCCCAGGCCTAATAGACCTATGCGTAATGACGTAACAAGCTGTTACACCCAGTGACTGTTACACCTGCAGGGAATTCTGCTCGTAGTAGTCACGGCGGGAAATTTTGAAGTTTGAATTTTTCGCTAAAACCAGAATTCCCTGTAGGCGTCACAGCTTGTACGTCATTATTATGCATAAGTCTATTCAGTACCTGTTGTGTATTCTTTGGTGACGTCACCACCCTACGTCACAAGCATGCACGATTTTTCCGTCAATGTTTGGTGCATTTGGTAATTCACGGCAGATGAGTTTGGTAGAACGCCAAAAGCGTGAAGATTATTCGAAGCTTTTGTGTCACGTTCACGCGGGAAAGTATTTAGACCTATTCAAGAAAAATATTTCCTGCTGTATTATTTGAAAACGGCTTAGATTTTTAGTCCTTTGCTACTGAATTTAACGGGGTAAGTCATATAATTTACGCTGCTAAGAAATATAGCGAAGATTGGTGCTATTTCTCGAGGAATAATGCAATATTTTTGGTCCGGTGTATGTCAATACTAACACACAGAATATTTAGAAATGACGATTGTTTATTTCATTGAAAAGATTTAGTTCATATTAATGTATAGAATCTTCGTGAAGCTTTATGATATTTCATTATTTATTGTTGCTATACAAAGTTAAAAAATTATATACAGTACTGGATCTTTGTGCAGTCTTGAATTGTTCAGTTCATATTTAATGCATACCCCAGGTAAGTTTATTTAGTAAGCTGTGCCCTCCTAATTTTGCATGTTTGTGGGATGGGTTGTTCATCATGTGTAAAACATAATAGATAGGTTTTTCTGTAATAATATTAACAGTCATTGAGATTAACCCTTGACTTGATATTCATGTTTTGTTTACTAAATACCAGTTTGTCAACAAAGAAAATGGCATCTCAAATATGAGAGATGATTTGATGTTTTCGTGCTGCTCACTAGGAGACTGTGACATTATGATATTAAATATGTGAATTTTTGCCAATTTTTTCACATTGACTCTCCACTCCAAAATTATACAGTGATACCCCCTAAAAAAGCAATGGTGCACCAATACTGCCTTACATAATAGTCAATACTTCATCTTAGTCAAACTTACAATCACTTTAGGTTTAATAACACCATTTTTCATTCAGTATAGTTTCTGAAAGCAAAGAAAAAGCAATAGCAATATGTGCTCTTAGACATTGTGTTTTTTTTTGGTGTTTTGCACCTTTGAACTAGTGAATATAATTTTGCAATATTTAAATTTTTTTGATTGGTCAGAGAATCAAAAGGGCCAATCAAATGCTCTGATCATAAACCGATTGTAAATTCATTATAAACTTTTCAGCTTTTCCACAAGATAAAAAAAATTCTCAAAAGTTGATAAACTATCTGCCACCAAATAATAATGGGTTGAAGCAGCCTAATGCACTTTACTTTGATATCTTTTTTAAAAACAATAATAATGTGGAGTTTGAGCAGTAACTACCAATGCAACTTTTTTTTTATCCCTTGTTAGTGGTTTGTAGCCTTAGTAGTTAAATTTTATTTGTTTAGGTAAAGCATCCTCTGGCCCCGGTCATTGTACTATGCAACGCAGCACATACCAAAATCGCCGAAAACACAAGAATGGGCCAAATCATCCAAGAAGGTATGACTCCTCAATTAGCCTCAATGGAAGCCTAAGAAGGTACCACTCCCTTGAAAACATCAGGGTGTGCCAAAGAAGCTACAACTCCCCAGAACACCACATGAGAAATGGTGGACACCCAATTACACCACCATACCACCATCTTCCCCCTCAAAACTATCAGAGAATTAAAAACAGTGAAAAGCATTCATCACCAAGACAAAAAAATGAACTGTGCTGGCCTAACAATGTTGGATTTGAAGTCAGTGGTGGCCATAATTCTCCTAAATATCAACCGATCACTGGAGATGAAACACGTCCATATAGTCTGGGACAGCCTGGGAAGCCATATTGGATTGATAATGTGGGCCATAACATGGGTATGAAGTCAATGTTTCAGTTTATTTGTTTAAGACCATTTGCAGAATTGCTAAGGCAAATCATTTTTACAAAAATGGTCTCAACTATATTTTTTTGCTCTTTTAATTTCTATTTAGCCTTTTTTTTATTAATTTTACCTTTCAATCTGGGTGGAAGTGAAAATGAAATTGCCATTTGTGGGTGTAGTGTCTATGCTGGAATTTATCATGCATTCATATGATGTATTATGTATTGTCCACTGACACAGGAAGTCTAATTAAATAGAGTTCATTTTTATCAGAGTTGAATATAGGTGCCCTAATTAAACATTATACATTTAAATCTTACTCGGTAATTTTATAGATCAGTGGGAACTAATTTTATAATACCATGTGGGGATTGATTAGGTTCAGTTTGGGTGGGCTCTTAAAATTTCCCTGAATCCATCCTAGTCTACAATTAGTCACAACAGGCAAATATAATGACAAGATACAGGCTAAAGTAAAGTTGTCCTGGGAAGCTTCCTTGTGTTATACAAGACTAGTATATAGTTGACAAGATACAAGCTATAGTAAATTAGTTGTACTGGGAGGCTTCCTTGTGTTATACAAGACTAGTATATAGTTGACAAGATACAAGCTATAGTAATATAGTTGTCCTGGGAGGCTTCCTTGTGTTATACAAGACTAGTATATAGTTGACAAGATACAAGCTATAGTAATATAGTTGTCCTGGGAGGCTTCCTTGTGTTATACAAGACTAGTATATAGTTGACAAGATACAAGCTATAGTAATATAGTTGTCCTGGGAGGCTTCCTTGTGTTATACAAGACTAGTATATAGTTGCAACAACATTTGACTATAGTCTCTTCCCTTATCGTGACACTAGTAAAACACGGAACCTGTCTTGGTGTCCACGTCTCGCGTGATAAGCTCACACTGACTGAACTGCAAACGCAAATGAATGTCTGATAATATAATGCGTTAGACACTGTACCTCTCTTAACATATTTTTCAAATGATAACGAACTGATCAAAGATTACTAAATGTAGGTATTAGTGAGGTTTTAACCATGCTGTCTATGAACTAAATCTTTCTGCAATAATTCATGCAGCATCACCACCGTTGGTTCGTCGAGAATTAGCAGCTACTGCATCCGAATGTGATGGCAGCCTCTCGTATAGATTTCCTAATCAAGATCCGATATTCTTGAAAAACACTTTTACATCATCAAAACGAAAACAGGAAGAAACATCAACAGCCACAACTACGATCAGTACAAATCCTTTCAAGATATCAAAAATTAAATCATCAGAAAGTACAAATACATCAACAAAAAAAGCAGGCCAGCCTGAAGATGCACATACTAAAGGTAGTTCAAATACTTCTGTAAAGTCTGAGAATCAAGAGATGTCTCCTCAGGATTCTTCCAAAAGTCGCGCAATTCTGACAACTTATGATAGTAATGGCAACTTTGTTGTAGTGAGTAAAGAAGGCTCTGTTACTGCCGTCTCGTGTACAACGAAAAACCGGACTTTATCAAATTCATTTTTGGAACGTTTTGAAAACGATCCAGAAGAAGGTTAGTTATATACTTTATTGCGAGAAAAGCAGATGCCATACAGTCCTTGTTTTCATGTCAAGTTTGATCTGCTCTGTTAAACATCTCTCTGTTCTTTCAGATGATGTAGAACTGATCTCACTTGAAGTTAAAGGCAAAGAAAAGGCAGTCGCGAGACCATCCGATAGCGGTTTAAATAAAGAGAAGGAGACACATCCCTCTGGGAATTCGTCGCAGAAATCGACCAATACTCTTGTATCCGATGTGAACGTCAAAATGACCAAAGCGGGAGTTGGTGATGCCGAAAAGGTTAAAGTTGATAACGACGATGTTGAAAGTTTGTCAGACGCTGAGAGTGAAGTTTTTGATGATATTTTCTTGAAAACGATAAATAAAGAACTTGAAAACGAAGTTTCTGATGATGAAATATCACCTTCACGTTCTGACAGTATTTCGCCAACATTTGAATTTGATAGCACTTTATTGCGAAACCTTGATGAACATTTACGCCATGGGGTAGAAAATGTAGTTTCGAATACCACAATGAAAGCAAATAAAAGTGATAGTAACAACACCAAAGAAACTGATGGCGCAGCTGAATTTCAGGAAGAAGATAACAAATGCCCTCTTGTCAATCAAGCAGCATCTGTGCTACCACCTGGCCGCGACTCTAAGGTTATAAATAATAGTTCAAACAAGGAATTTGAAAATACTGTCCCCCAGATTGCTGTTGCAAGTGGTCACGATGAATGTAAAAGTGGGAGTGATAATCCTGGTGGTGTTGCAAGTGGTGCGAAGGAGGACCCTAGTAAAACCACGTCTTCTGAACGTAAAAGCGCCTCAAAAACAGATGCAGAAGAATTTGAGCAACGCTCGACACGGCTTAGTCTTCAGGAATGTGCTATTGCTAATCCGTGTGTTGAACCTACAGTAACAAAATCAACTGAGATCGTGTTGGATCGCAATGCGGCTAGGGGAGGAAGTATTCAATCTGTTAGCGATGAGATAATTGAGAAGCCGTTGGACGACCTGCCATTAACAGAGCAGTCTGAAAACATTGTAGCAGATAAAATATTGGATACCACAAAAACCCACACGGCAAATGTTGAGGAAACATCTTCCAATGAAACTGAGTTACCTGAAGGAAATTCTTCACACAATTTAGATGAAAACAATACATTTATTGGTAGAACCGTTGGTGGAATTTTGTCTAACAATGAAAAGTCGTCTTCTAAAAATTCTTCAAGTCCCGGAAATGCAGATTTTCTTGTTGGAACATCTCAAAGCTGTCCGATGGTGGATACAATCATGAGCAAAACTCAATTGTCTGAAGAAACGTCTTCTCGCAAAACAGTTGAAACCTTGCTAAAAACCTTGGATACAAGAAACCAAAACAAAACGTCTGCCGAAGAAACATCTGCCGAGAATAATATGAATGTTAAGGATGCTATAACTCTTATACGAGATAATTGTAAGGAATCTGTTAAACATTCCGTGACACTGCTTCAGTCTAAGGTAATAAAGAACGGGGCTGAATTGAACAAAACTGGGAATGAACAAGAAACTGTTTTGGGGAACTACAAAGAAAATAATGAATCACAGATGATGATCACTAAAAAAGACAGTGGTTCGATTGTGGATAATAAAAGCTCGGTTGAGGAAAGTAAAAGCTCGGTTGGGGAAGAATCCTTAAATAGTTCTGCTGAAAATAACAATAGCGCTTTTGTACCTTTATGTGAAAGCGTATTACAGAGTGTCAACAAAGAGTTACGGGAAAACGAAGTAATGAAAAGAGACGAAAATAAAAACAGCCAGATGGGTATTGGTGATAATAGTTCTCAAAGTGGAAACAAGGACGATTGTTATAACAGTGACAAGTGTGATGAGGAAAACAACAGAATTGAGGTTATCGATGTTAATGGTAAATCAAAACTTGCTGCGAGTTCAGAAACAAAAAGTCGTAACTCGAGTGTATATGACACACTTCATGCAGAATTGGTGGCTTCGAAAATGAATGTTAGTCACACACTAAATCAGCCATCTAAGATTTATGAAGGTCCAAAGGATTCAGAGACATTGGAAATATTGACGTCTAATACAGAAGTTTCCAACATCAATATACAAGGCGAAAAGGGTGTGATAACTGTATCATCGTCAGAAGCTATGGCACAGTCAGGAGACAGTGCAGAAGATTCCCAAACAAATAAAATCTCAACTGATGTATCTAACAACCTGTATTTAGAAACGTCTGCAAATCATGATACGGAAATGCATGACGTTGATAATGAACTAGATCAAATGTCAAAAGCCAGAACGTTGGAGGGAGAAAGGAGTACAGAAGAGGCATCTGAACAGTTGGTGAGCAATGTTAGTGAAACCATTGGTTTTGCAGGAGCAAGTCAGTTGTTCAAAAAGTCTTCAGACGAAAAAGCGAACGATTCGGATAGCAAAAACATTGAGAGTCAACCTCTTTGCAACGCAAATGACATGACTACAACCAATGTTAGTATGGAGGAACCTAATAATGCAAATGATTTTGATAAAGAAACTGAGTTGACATCTAGAGAGCAAGTAGCAGGGAACACCCACATGACTCAGAGTGAAGAGAAGCAAATTACACAAGACATTAGCGGCACAGATCTGTGCATATCTGAGGACACGGTGGTCGTTGTTGCTAACAGCTTAGGTATTGAAGAAAGAAATTTTGATGAATCTCAGAAGATTGACGTTATCGTTAATTGTGCCACTTTGACCGAAACTGCACCCGAACAGCAAGGTGGAGGTGATGAAAAGTTAAGTGTAGAAGGAACAGAGTTGGGCGAAAACCAACCAGATATTTTAGAAAGGATGGAAATGATACCTAATAGCACTAAACCATTTGCTTCCCAGAGTGAAATAGAATCCACGTCGGATGATAAGACAGCTGATGTGGAGATGACAATTCCTCAACATGAGGAACTGTTGATGCCCGAACGCGGGGTTACGGAAGGTCAGGATTCGGTTGAACCTGAAGTTGTTGCGCCAAACTTGCATGTTTCAAGCGATAAAAAGCCACTTGAAGAAAGTACCATTGTTCCTGGCGAATTACGGAGTAACGTTTTATCCCCAGCTGTTATAGTGAACACGAAAAAAGTTGATTTTGAAGAAGAAAAAGTTTCAGAATCGGTTTCATGTGGCACACGGGTGGACGAAACTAAAGATGATTCGAAATCTAATACAGATGATAGCGATGATAATGCTTTGACGGGAGCTGCTAAAGACATAGCAGTTGTAGAGCAACAGCAGGAAAAACCAAGTGTCGGAAATCTGGAGAAATTTGAACAACATAACGCCGACGACATTGTGGTGGAGGATGATCGTACAAGCGTCCAGAACATAAATACTTCGGGAGAAAACTCGAAGACGAAAAAAATAGAAGTTGAAATTAATGATGCCAAGAGCTCGGAAATGACGGAAACAACTGCAGTGATTTCAAAATTACTTGAATCTAAAGAAAACTGTTCTGTAAAACATTTATTAATTGACATTCTTACTAAAAACCTAGAAGACACCAAAAAAGGGGAAAAAAATAGGACGAAGCATTCATTTCAAGATAGGTCTTCTGGGCAATCATCCTCACACGATAGTTTAGTGACAGAAAGCGAGTATTCGTCGACCGAAGACACTTATGTACAAAATCTTCTCACAAGAGCTGGACAGTTGAGTGATAATGACATGGATGTGTCGAGCTATGATAGTAGCGATATCGAATTAGGTGCATCAACGAGTTCGTCTGAAACTCAGGAGGATAAATTTTCACAAAGCATGAAATCGATAAAAAATCACGATCCGGACGAATGTGGTCAGATGGGTGAAACTGAGAAATCCAGCCGTAAGAATAGCAACAATGAAGATGACGTTTCGTCAAGTAGCCAGCAAATACGGCAAGATAACCCCGTAGAGGATGATTCTGTTTTGACAGGGTTTGGACACCTGAAAAATAATCCCAGAATTGACAGTTCATGCAATGAAAAGTGTGGTATAAAAGTGGGTGCGCTGGAAAGTTCGTCAGAAACACTTGAAGGAGAATTGTCACAAAACGATGAGTTGAAAGAGGATTACCATCTTAAACTGGCTAGGGGAAACAGTTGTGAACAGGGTGGTACAAGTGGCAAAGATACTGAATCGTATGTGCAGTCAGTTTTATCAGGAGCACATAGGGATACAAAAAATAACAAATTTGCTATAGTTAATGTTCCTACAAACAAAGAGGAAAGTCAGACCTCGGTTTGTATGAAGATATCAACAGAAGGAAGTACCCCTGGTGTGATATCCAGATCATCCAGTCAGGGAAGGAGAGATGTCTCTAGGAATAATGAAGAACCTAAAAGCACTAATGCATTACACAAGATTGACACCGACGTTTCTAATACTGGCAAAGAAATTCCTAAAAAAAGCAAAGGACTTTATTTACATCATACAGACCTGTCTATGCATACTGTCACAATTTCTAAGAATTATCAAGAATTTTTGAATCGCGACAAAGCCTCTTCTGGGAATTCCACACAAATGTCAAAGAGTTGCCAAGAACGTTTAAAATCAGACGCACCTATGAACAACGACGAAATTCCAAAGATTGACACAAGTTCTTCTACGTGTAGCAAGGAAGACATTCCTAACAAGAGAAAAGACATTTCTAGCGATACAAAAAGCGACATCGTGGAGCCTCGTAGAAAAAGAGGTCGTCCAAGGAGAACATTTCCAGCTAATGAGCCCACCACGCCCAAAAGGAAGTCAACACGACAGAGAAACCCGACACGCAGTAGAAGAGATTTTGGGCTAATGTATTCATCAAATCTCTCCAGCCGAGAAATTCCATATTATCGTAATATGAAGGCTTTCAATATGGACGTGAATTTATCAAGTAAACACAGCGGTTCGATCAATGAGTATGCGAGGTCTGAAAAAGGTCGTGAAGAGAAAGAGAGGGAACCACTGAAATATAGTATAAAGCAAGTCATTGATCTCATCAACGTTGACGATGATTTTCATCTCGAATTAGAGTCAGAAGATGAAAATTCTCGCAGTGGTTGGTCTCCAGTCAAAATTGACAATTCACTGGTCCGCAGTGCAATCTCAAGTACCAATATTCTACCATTAGGGAATACCACGCAAACCAATGCGACGCCAAGTACCAATAATTTACTGGGTGTTTCAAGTACCAAGCAAGCTAGTGCATCGTCAAGTACCAAAAATTTACTTGGGGGCAGTATCGCGAGAGCTAATGATATATCACCAAGTAACCAGTCCTTTGGCAGTTCAGTGCCAGTTCTGTTTAGTTATCCACTACCTAATTGTATTACACCAAGAACAACTTTTGTGGTGGGCAGTTCCTTGCCCGCTGAAATTAATAATTCGCTGGCAAATAGTGCAATACCGTGTAAGAACGTAGGTTCCTGTAGTACTTTTACATCGAAGAATGCACTTGGTTCTTTGCCTAAAGTAAATTATACGGTTACTAGTGCTACCCTTTTGCAAAGGGAGACACAACGTGATAAGAACAAAGCAGAGATTTCTTTGGAAAGCTCTTTTTCTAACTCACCAGAAGTCACCGATAAACCAAGTGAAGCAACTTTGGCCAGTTCCATGCTCCCTAGTACTATACCAAAGAGGCGACGCGGTAGACCAGCGATTTTAAGAAGGAGATGTCCTGAGAGCGAATCGATACCAAAGAATGTCAACAAAAATATTAATTGTTATTTGTCAAGTGAAATCAGTAGCGCAAGAACTAGGCCATTAGTGGAGTTACTGACAAGTTCTCGAAATGCCAGTAAAAGGGGAAGTTGCACCTCTGGTGAACAACGTCCTGATAGTGCCATGATTCATGTTAATTCCATACCAAAGGCTAATTCTGCGGATAGAACTTTACCTGATGAAAGTGTTTTACCTTCCCACACGTTAGCTGATTTTTGTTGTTCTTTCAATTCACCAGTCTCTCCACTTTCCAAAGAGTTGGATGTTCTCAGTGGCCGGAGTTCAACCTCCACAGAAAGTGGGGAGAAGGGTTATAGTTCAACATCGACAGTATTGATGGATAGTCAAAACTCAGGAAGCAGTGCTGAATCTTTGAAAATCACGTTGATCAGCGAAAGAGATCCTGACACTGGGACGACAAATTGGAAGGCTAGTCCTATGATACCGGGTACAGAAAGTGGCAAGGTGAATTCTTTAAATTATTACAAAAACTATGATTTTGGTTTGAGCAGAACACAAATGGTTTTTGCAAAGTACTTTGTGAGACACTATACTACGTTTGAGGCATCATTTTCATGTACTTGAAAACACAAAATACAAACACAAAACATAGCTTTTTTGCAGATTTTTGTTGGAATACCTATGTGATTAGTATAAATACATAGCATTATATTTGAGAATGGAAAAACGTTTTTTAAAGGGATCTTCGGCGGGATATGGATTGCGTCGTTTCAAGACAAGAAAGACGAAAAATCCTTCACCTATTCCAACAGAACTGAATGGTACACATCATAAACATGTTATTTATTTTCCTTTTCACACGTAGTCTCTCTACAGTTACAAAGTATTTTTTTTCTAGCTAAAAGAAGGCGAATGATGATCAGTGATATAGACAATGAAGTGCAGAGTCCACAGTCGTTACAGAATCTCACGAAAAGGTAACTGTTGAGGCACATATAAAATTACTATAAGTTCATCTGAAGCAATATTTTCATATTCTTTGTTAACTGCATGGTGATTCATACAGAATGAAATTTTGTCCAACAGTGAAAACAAACTCTTAAAAAATAGTTGCTATGTGGTAGTATAAATCGCATGAATTTTAAACAGTATTTTGAATGTCTTCGTATTTTTAGACCGTTAGAAGAGTACATAAGAAGTGTAGAGAAAGTGTATCGTTCATCTGACAAGAATCCGAAGAAAGGCTTGCTTTCAATTGCCATGAATGATCGTGTCAGCAAAACAAATTCCAGGGAACAAGAGGGTGTGGCATGTTTTAATAAATAAATTTGACAGGATCGGGTAGTATCAGTGAGAAAACAAAATGATAACAGATGCGATTGTCTTTTACTGCCGTCGTAGGATTATTTTAGCATGGTCACTTTGAGCCATTTGCTTGATAAATTGTGAATATACACAAGCGAGTGGGGTTTGTTCTCTACTATGCTCCTAGAGTAAATGTAGTACCATTTTTTTTCTCCTTTGCAAAATGTATCTCATAGACGTTACAGTAACTAATCACTAAGAGACCTTTTTCTTGGAAAAAAAGTGTTAAAACTTTCTATACTCAATACGTTTATCTTGTATATTGTAGGCGATTTTCTAAAACTTGGCGATACTGATGTAATGTATGAAATAGTCCGGAGAGCTTATGGGGACAGGTCAGTGCTACTGATATGACGTTTTATAGACGTAAATATTGCGAATCTAAGTTTCTTTCTATTTTTAGCAAGTTAAAGCACTGTCGACCATCCCCTCGATCCTTGTATTTTGCTGCAAAACAAGGCAATGCACTGCAAGTTTTAGTTCTGGCTTCTGGTTGTAATGTGAATGCTACAATACCACAAGAGAAACATAAAACTGCAATGCATGCTGCTGCTGCCTCTGGCCATGTTAACGTGTTATGGATTTTGAGTATGGTGAGTACATGATATATGATGAAGCTGTTCCTTGCAGCATGCAGCGGCTGGTTACGAGTTTGGCTTATTGCCATGTGAAAAGAGTTTTCCAGTTCATTTATACTTCCGAATGCGAGCAGCCCTATATTCGTGACGTGCATCTCGATTTCAGCGATTTTTTTTTGTCAGGATGATTTTTTAGCACACGTGCCATAGTATTGCGGTTTAATCCTGTGCGAATGCGTAGTGTTTCCTATGTGCGATCTCAACTAGGGAGAGAATTCTCATCCATTACTATCCTGAAGACTACCCAAGACTATATACTGGGGGAGGATAATGCACAACGTGCATTCGCTCGCGGAATTTCACTTACAATTTGTAATTCTAGTCATACTTATCTGTTATTGTCATTGAAAGAGCTTATGTGACAGGTTGTGTGACATTGTCATTGGGGGAGGTTGACATGCAGGCATTGCCATTAGGTATGGTGTTGTTATTCAGGAAAGTGGCTGGTATTGCCATTGAAAGTGAATGATGCAAAGTGGCATTGACATCTAAAGGCTCTGCATTACACAGCTCTGGGAGAACAAATTGACACTGCAAGTTGTCCAGTGTTTGTTTGCAGTTAATATTATTAAGTTTATCTTTCTCAGATTGGCGGGAATCTATCGTCTCTGGATACAAAACTACAAACTCCACTAGTAAGTGGAAAGTTAGAGACAAACTACAAATGATTTAAAATTGTTGAAAAACACTTCTGATTGACATGAATGTAATATTTTCTTTTAAAAAACAAAGTTTGACGCAGTTGAAAACCAACAAACTGAAGTTGTAAAATTCTTGATCGGTCAAGACGTCAATTTAAACTTGAGAGTAAGTATTATATACGTTTTTCCAGCCTTTAATAAAGTCAGCATTCGGCATTGCCGACCTAAAAGCTGCCCTATAGGTTAGGAATATTTATGCCGACCTTGAATCATATCTTCCTCGGCATTTTGCATTTCTTGCTCGGGAAAATTTGACTTTAAGTTTTTGAATTAACAGCCGACCGAGCGACAATGCCTACCTTGACTTTGTCAAAATTTCCAGGGCTGTTGCCTTTTATTGTATTAACTGCTGGCTGGTTTCTCCAGGTGTTGATAGATCAGTGTATTTACAGGAACTGCACGCGTCTTACAGTCCCAGACCATGCAGCTGTTCCACGCAAATAAACGTGCTCTCAAATAATATTTTAGGACTCTCAAGGAATGACTGTGTTACATGTTGCTGCTCAGAAATCCAATATGGACATTATCAACTTGCTGATGAATACATACAAACTGGATGTGAACGACCAGGATAATGGCGGATGGACGGCGTTAATGTGGACTGCGGAAGGGATGCGTATGGATGCAGCGAAGTGTCTGCTAAATTGGGGAGCGGATGTCAACATCTTGGACAAAGTAGGGATCGTGTTATTACAGGGGTGGTTGTATCAAGCCCGTTTAGCTTAAACGGTGGATAAGTCAAAATTAACTAACACTCTTACATCTTTCATGAATGAGTCAACTTGAATATTATGCACTGAATATGTAGTTGTAAACAGTATCGTTGTTTTAAGGTAAAAAAAATTTACTTCTCTTGTTGAATAAAACGATAGACTTGATTTCTATTGTGAACTTAACCACCGTTTAAGCTAAACAGGCTTGTTACAACCGGCCCCTGGTAATAAAAACGTTAATCTTATGTGAGTAAACGAATTTTTTTTTTCTTCAGGAGAAAAACACGTGTCTTCACTGGGCGGCCCTGGCAGGTGACATAAATATCATGGATCTTTTGCTCCAGTCAAACGTACATATTGACGCCCGAAATATGTTTGGAGCAACAGCCCTGTAAGTACATCGGAATATTTGCTTAGCTAAGCCAGACTAAAATACTGATATAGCTTAATTCAATATTAACACTAGCATTAATACAAAAATACTAAATATTATAACAACATCTTCTACCACTGGACCATTCTCGGGTGCAATGCAAAAGAATTTCTTAAAAACTACGATTTACCGATTTTCTTCCAATTACTAGCCGTAGCGAACTTAAAATGAGTTACAATTTATAAACGTTTTGTTGTGAGACACTTGCCAAATGTCGTCAATTTGTACTTAATAAGTCCATTCTTTACTTCTCAGACACATTTCAGCTCGGGAAAGGAAACTCGAAAACATCAGGTAAGAATTTTCACTTAATAGACCTTTTTCATAATACGTCAAACGCGGAAAGTCTGATGTTATACGAAATTTGATTCGATAGTTTTGTGGAGCCAATCACATTTCGTGCAAAATCAGACATTCCGCGTTTGACGTCATATATAAGAAAAGTCTATTGGTATAAAAACGCAAAAATTACCAGTCTTAAATCCTGGAAATGTGGATGCTTTGAGATTGTCTCCAGCGAAATATACTCATTTGTGATGCTGCCTAATTGGTAAAAACTCCATGTGATTTTACTTTTTAGGACACTTGCAAAATATCGTCCAAATCTGGATATCAGAAATGCAGATGGCAAAAAACCAATAGAAGTACTGTATTAAAGAAAGATCCCTACATTTTAAATCATGAATGCAAAACCGTAGTAACTCTAAACCAGTATACTCTTTTATATACTCTTTTGGCAGTTACTATCGTTTTTTAGTATACACCCGACTATTGTCTATTGCAAATCCTACATTCTGATTGGCTACTCAACCATTGTCTATTCGTGATGGTGAACGTTTGGGAAAAATTCGCTCGCGCGACCGTATAAAATTGAATTAATTAAATTATTTTTCGGTGTAATTGTGGTGTATCGATTATTTTCTCGAAATTAATATATCTAGGTACAGGGTGTTTACTAAAACAATTAGACAACTCGCCTTCGTTGTCTAATTGTTAAATATTCATGGTTTATAAACCATCGAGTCTATATCTAAGATGACAAAATTTCAGTTGGATTGTATTTCTTCCTTTCCATTCATACATTAAGGATCATACTTTTTTCTTTTAGCTTGTCCAATACAACACCAAGTGTTATGTTCAACTAAAAAGAATGGATATGTTAAAAACATTGGCGAAGTACACGTTGAAAGAACGCTTAATATCACGGTATAAGAGTTTTGAAGAGCAAATATGTATAATAGAAAAGAGATATATTAAAGTCGCCACAGTGGAAGCGTCCCGAAAAATATTGATTTGCTTATTTTTCTATTGATTAACGGAGTTCCTCAAATATTTTCGTAAACTCCTTGAAAACTCCTTATTTTCTGTACTCCTCACAACACTTCCTCTTATAATCCGGGTATGTTTGCAACAAACAGCCGTTAGTGAATTATTTTTATAATTGCAGTGATATCTCTCGGGGACAAGAAAAAAGACCTATTCCTTGTATCAACGAAGTAAGAAGCTTTGCCAAAAAATATTTTTTATTTCATTCATATAACGTGCTAATTGTTACTTAAACAAGTTTCGTTCCGCACTTCTGTGTACGTAGTTCGCTCTCTGTGTACATAAAAATTATTATTAAGTAGATCAAACTTGTGTATTCTGTAGCATGTATGAAAAGAATTCTTATCGAAAATTCTTCCCCCCCCCTGATAACCATTTCATGGCTTCAGTGTCACTGCCAGTCATTAGTAGCAAGATTCATTATCTCTTTAGGTTGATGATGAAAATCTTCCGGATGACTTTATTTATGTCTTTAATAACTTGGAATGTCAAAGTCAGAGTTTTGATCGTTCTATGACGGTAAGTATACATCTTAATTTTTTTTATCTTGCATAAGGATTGGTTGAGTGGACGTGGATATAAAGAGTTACTCAACCTGTGTTACATTTTGTTTTTAGGGCTGTAACTGTTCAGATGGTTGTGTAAACGACAAACATTGTGAATGTGCTCAGCTGTCGGCTCGAAAACGGTTCTGGTATGATGAGGTAAGGTCTAGTTCTTGTAAAACTGTTCAGATGCGATATTGTCTCCTTTATGTGAAGAGAAATTTCGATACAAGTGTTCGCCATGGATTATCACGGATATGCCTGATACGCCACATGTGAGATCACGCAACTTTTTTATCTTGTCTTGAATGCTGATGACGAATAGGCCACAAAACTTACGCCAAGATGTCCACCTATATAGGCTTGAATGTAAACTTAAAATAGATCCCACAGAACAAGTTTGCATTCTTACTTTATTCGCTAGAAGTAATTCTAATAGATTAACCCAGCTGGTGACGTAATCGAAACTGTAGTTATTGAGGCTAGGAAGTAATATAGGATGGCGAACAGTCAGCCGCGCTTTTAGTCAAAATATTTAATGAAGTTCCATGTGAAATAGAACTTTTATCATAATTTTAAAAGCTCTTTCAAACAAAACATTAATAATGGAAACAAATTTTTTGTTGCCCATACCCTTTAATTAATATTACTCTACCATTATTTTCATATCTCCAGACGGGTCGCATCAATAGTGAAATATTTGAAGAAGATCGTCCATTAGTTTACGAGTGTAACATGAAATGTAAATGTTGGTCAAACTGTCATCAACGTGTTGTACAACGTGGCATCACTGCTGGTTTACAACTATACAAAACCGAAAATAAAGGTTAGCTGTTCACTTTCATTATGATGATTATTGCCCCAGTTCATTTTCTCATGTGTAACAATAAAAAAATTGCAAAAAAATTATTTGGAGAAACAAAACAAACACAATTTCGCTGGAACATAAGATATAAGATTTCGGACCGCCGTCAGATCGTAAAATTTTACAATCGAACTGATACCGAGTTCTTCGATTATGATTGAGGTTGATTATGATTTAACTTCTGCGTTATTAATACTTGATCTATTTTAAATAAGTGATAACTCTTATGTGACCTCGTACCATGAAGTATTAATTAAATTTAACATGATTCCCAGGCTGGGCAGTGCGTACCCAAGCGTTGATCCCAAAAGGGACATTCGTATGTGAATACGTGGGTGAAATATTGACTGACAGTGAAGCAGACAGACGTAAAGATGATTGTTACTTATTTGATCTTGATGTAAAGGTTTGTTATAAATTATAATTTTTAGATTGATTTCGCATATTTTTCATAGCTTTATGATAAAATTTTTACCCAGAGGTCGCGGTTAAGAACCTTAAGTTTGGGGGGGGGGGCAAATATTCATAGATTCAATCGTAAATCGTAAAAACAATCAATTTCAAAAGGAGCCAATACTGCTGATCGTGAATATATCAATATTTTATTCTAAAGATTCCAGTTTTATGATTATTACCGATTTTAGCATCAACTTATTTTACTTATTTCATTAGGGTCAATCGATTTTGTTTTGTCTTGACGCGAAATTTTATGGAAACATTACAAGATTCATCAATCATTCCTGTGATCCAAATATTCTCCCTGTTCGTGTATTTACTGACCATCAGGTAAGATAAAATCATTAGACTTCAGTATTATGACAACGAAACTTATGGACGGAATTCAACAATTAGATTGCATTTTTTGTATTCAGATAAAAAGCTGTCCAAGAATTGCGTTCTTTGCTGCCAGAGACATTAAACCATATGAAGAAGTTTGGTAAGAATTCCAAATGACATAAAAATTCCAATTGAAGAATTGCTTCTACTGTCATTGACACATTTTCGGGTTTTGCGTGTCATTTTCTATTATTTCATATTTCGTCATTTCATGTTTTTTTTTCTCATCATTTCATGTTTTATTTCATGATATCCTGACTTTGGTACGCCTCAGGCTTTTTCCAGGCGTCGAACTTTTCATGTACCGAACCTGATGTTACTTGAGCTAAAGACTTTGTTTAAGTCATTTACATTCGATTCGGCACTTGAAAAGTTCGACACCTGAACTGAGCATCACTCTCTGCACTGAGCATCACTCTTTCTTCATCTTCTCTGGTCTTCAAAATACGCCATGTCATGTCGTTTTCCCATTCAGTGTGTATTCATGAACTCTGTATTTTGTGTTTTTAGTTCAAACTACGGCGAGAGATTCTGGACAGTAAAGAAACACGAGTTTCATTGTGTTTGTAATACGACCAAATGCAAATATGGTGCTGCGAAAAAGTAATGTTTCATGTGTGAAGGATGGGGGTGAAGCTCCTGTTATGCCTCGGATTTGTAGGGCGGCAAGGAACTGGGAAACTTTTTTAACATGTGCAGGTGCTAAATGAACAATGTTTTAATGAAATCATTGTTAGCATTCTGTAGTAGGTATTTAATTTCGAAGGGGCGGGCAATTAGTCATCGTAATGACACACTTGCTGACACACTTGAGTGTAGTTTTTTACCGTAGTTCTTTCAAAATTATTGTATATAAAACACGGTTTTAATGATTTTGCCATATGCTAGTTATGAGATATTAGAATATTTTTAATTGATATGTACGGTATGTGTACTGGCAAGATCATTGTATTGTAGAACCATATGATTAGCCTGCTTGCAGGCATCAGAGCCACACCCTTGATCCATTCGTAGCCTTTTCCGTTCAAGTCCGTGATTTAATATCAAATTTGAATATAATTAGTACTACAGAAATAATAGGTATGTCTATTACTTTACTCTAAATATTACATTCGAAACACTTATTATTGTAACCTCCCAGCCACCCGCGGACCAAAACGATTATCATAAATGAAGTACTGCGAGCTGTGAATATTCGAATGTTCCGCGCGAATAGCCCCAAATATTCTAAAATTGTTTTGTTCATCATGTGTTTTTCGTCACTTTAAATGTTTTTTCGCGTATTTGTTCGTATTTCGAATATTTGTAGCAAATTTTCCGGCATGAATGTCGAGTCTCTGTCCAATGAGGCATATTCAGCAAAACGAGGTTTCTCTACCAACGTACAGGCTGATGCAAGTCAAGAAATACTGTACGAGGTTTGTAGCAAAATTTGCCAAGTTTAATACTTTCCATTCATTACATTTTTTCGTCTAGTGATACAATACCATTGAATAGGAGGAACCTAGCTTAAGGGCTGCGTTCCACTGCCGCGTTTTTTGCACGTATCTACACGCACGTAAAACGGTAAAAGTTTAAAATAATTTTACATGATACTTATAAAATCAACGATTGAATAGATGCATAGGGTTGAAATCTGTTGATGATTTGGTGTGTTTTTTTCCGGCATAAAATTCATTATACAACAACTTACAAGGTTTTAAGGCTTTACGTGCGTGTACGTACGTTCAAAAAACGTGACAGTGGAAAGCAGCCCTAAGTATATAGTTTTGCAGGAACCTGCATGAATCCTGTCCATAGATCACTGATGATTTTTTTTAGAAAGCTATAGCAACGTTAAATACAATACAGACTGTAAAAAAGGCGGAAGTTGGTGGATTGTTAACAGATGAAAAAAAGTTTGCTGAGATAAAAAGCTTGCCTGTAAGCAAAGATTTTATGACTCATATTATACTAATAATGAATGTTTATGAGTGCAATATATGAAAATTTTCATGTGGTGAAAATGGAACATTCCACCTTTCACCGAATGAAAACATTTGTTTGTTTCATATGGCACCAAAAAAGATCAAATGAAATAATAATAATATTAATAAATAATAATAAATAATTTAGTGAAATAAAATAATTTAGTGCCATCTGATCAAAAACAACCAATTAAAAGACATTAATAAGGTGTTATATAAATGACTTTATTTGATAATAAATGAAGGACATGACTATGTAGCCAGCAGCTAGTCATCTAGTTTTTTCCTATATCCACTAAACATGGCCTGTTAGATAATTGTCACCATAAACATCAACAAAATACTAAATGAATGGCAGTTTACAGCACACAAATTTTAACCTAAATCCTTCTCTAGAGTAATCCTAATCATCACTTCGATTCCAATGCTAATATTTATCCTAATCCTAATTAACCCTATAATCCTAACCCAAAAAACTAGGTAAAATGGTATCAAAGGCTATCTAGTCACTTAAAAAGTGATAGTCAGTGTTTGATGTCAACTATGTGTTTGAACAATTCTATTTTAACTCTACTTTAGACTTTAATGTTTGGTATGACATGGATGAAATCTGTAGCTATAGAACTTTTATATTATTCATGAACTACCTGTTTGTAATTAGGCCAAACCGGTTTTATCCATGTCACACCAAAAACCAAGCATAGTGTAAACAGGCTTCATTCTTAAAAAATTACACTTTAACGGTAATATTTTATAAACTATTTTCTAGGTTAATCACTTAGACAAGTTAGCAGCAATCCATGTTGCAGGTACAAAGGGCAAGGTAGTTCATTCTGTGCACATCTTTAACCTATTGTAGTTGGCGTACATGTTGACTTTCAATCTTCATAGTGTAGTCTTATTGCAGTTTTGCCAAGATAATTGCATCAGCTAGAACTGTTCAAAAGAAGTCTAACTCTGTCTTGTTCTGGATGCTGATTCTTTCAAGTCCCTAATCATCATTCCTAATTATTCCATGCCTAACCATCATTTCTAGGGCTCAGTCTGTGCATTTTGTGAAAGTATCATGAGACACAGTGGCTATAGAACGGGATTTTACAGGTTTTGTGCATCATAGTGTGGTTGCGTGTAGTTGAATTTTTCACAAGTCTGTATGTAAATTAAATGACTCATGTAATGCCTTTGTTTAGCTCACCCCACATATTTGAGGTCCGGGAGCGAATGCGTGTAGATGGCATGCCCATTTCCAAAGAAAAATTTGCTAATTATTTTTTTGAATGTTGGGAAAACTTCGAGGTATGTAATGTTGCAGTTGTACAACCAAAGGTTTGTAGTATGTTGGTAACATTCAATTCAGCCTTTTGTGAGACCAATCTCTTTATTTTTTCAGATGGAAAAAAAGCGTTATTATAAGACATTTCTAGTGAATATGGCTTTTCACGTGTTTCTGAAAGAAAAGGTATAAACCATATAATTTATTCGAGCCTCGCGCTGACTGCAATATGAAACAAGACACACATAGGTACGTAGGATCTCAACAGGAGAAAATAGGGAGACTGTACCCGAAATTGCTCACTAAGCCCGCTTACAGGTTGGGCTTGCGCTCGCGATAATTTCCACTAAAAATCTTACGAAAAGAAATTTGAAAACTGTTTTATTTAAATGAACAATCAGGCATAATTAACGATAAATGGATCATGAAAAACTACGCTTTGTGTGACAAATTTATGCTTAAGTATTTTCTCGGAAAATCCAGAAAAAATATTAAAATCGGAAGAAAGGAAGATCCACGAAATTCCAGCCTTCATTTGCTCTATGGGGTTGTTCTTTTGAGCCCCGTTACCCAAGATACAACGAAGTGTAAAATGACTTTGAGGTATTGAAATGAGTAGATAACCTTATCCCCTTAGTCGTGTGGTCATCGTAACAATAGCATGTGATTGTTTGTTTTCAGAAAGACTTATTTTAATACCTCAAAATCATCTCACGTTTCGTTAAATCTCAGGTAACCCGGCTCATGTGAACAGCCTCTATGTCAGATATTTACAGGATACTATTTTTCAGGTGGACGTTACTGTTGTTGAGGTGGGATGTGGAGGTGAATATGATGCTACAAATATTCTAAGGTATTCATCAAACTTTAGTATTTCTCTATAGCTTTGCAGTTGATCAACATTCGAAATAAACAGATATTTTTCCAAGTTTGCATGCATTTTCTATCTCTATAGACATCCAGTAGTTTGTGGTATCACGTTATTGGACAAAGATCATTTGAAATCTCTAGGAGGCACAGTAGAAAGTATAGCCTGGCATAAATCTGGAATATTTAAAGTATAACGATATTGCTACCTGCAGGTTTTTGATTTACAAAATAAGGTAGAGATGTTTTATCCAAAGGCTTATACCACAGTTTCTTCTAGCCTGGCGTCCCTGCCTTCACTTTTCCCCAGAATTCTGCTTCAATGAAAGTTCTTATGGAAAGGGCAGAAGAAAAGAAGATATCTCTCAAAGTAGTTCCAGATTTTATATCTAAAATTTCCGACGGGAGTCTACCAGGTTTGTTGGTACATGATATTTTGAATCACTCCACACTTTTGACAAAGACACTTAATACCCATGCAAAGTTAAAGTACTGACGTTTGGACCGCAACCGCATGTTAGTAACCTTGGAACATGTATCTCATCCACTCAACCTGCTTTGTTCGACCACATGGCTGATAACTATTACTAATAACAACACAATAAAGAATTTATTTCATTAGATAATTGCATTTGACACTCCTTGTATAACTATCACCACAATCGTTATCGGTCAATTGAATCAATTAAAATCACTCCATGTAATGTATACCTTACAATACTCTTCTATTTTGATGTGTTAGTATAGTAACAACTGTTATTTAACAATGACAGTTCTAGGTATAGAAGGTAAACATCAAAACCAGAATGCTTCATTGGCGCTTCATCTCTGCCGCACGTGGATAAAACGTCGGAATGAAGGTTGGTACAGACCCAGATAATGTAATATTTCTAGCTGGAATTAACCTTACACTTGACTTATATTTTAGTATGTATCTTGTTGTGTACTCTTGTACTTCTTTTGATCGAACCGTGAACGAGTGAACTAGTCATGAAAATCGTTTAGAAAGGCACCCCTAGCCTCGTTCTACATGAATTACATGTGTTCAAGACATGTATTGGTTTCAGCAAACGAAGCAACTGAAACCCAAAAAGAGGTCAAGTCATCGTGTGAGACAGAATCTCCTTACGCCGAGGAATTCCCATTGCCGGAAAGTTTCAAAGAAGGTTTAGTATTATATTATTTGTTAGTTTACCTCTTATTCACCTCAGCAAATAACTTCCATGATTGTTGTCAGCTCCGCGGAGGAGGGCAGGGGTTGGTGACTAGGATAAAGTATTTCTAGAAAACGTTCTTGGCCTGGTATTATTTAAATAACGAAGTTAAAAGAAGACTGGATTAAATTACGTCAAGGATATAACAGTAAGCCATTTTTTCAAACCAGGTCTTGCCAAAGTATTTTGGCCAGGAAGAACTCAATGCGTTGAGAGAGATGACATCACATTCTATCTGGACGGAGCACACACTAGGAAAAGTATTGAGGCAGGTTCAGGATGAATATTACCTCCCTATATTTCCGTTTGTGTATCTTTCAAACTCTCCGGTACTTTACGCTAGGTACTATATTGTATTGTATTTTTTGGTTTAAACTCAGCACTTGGCCTCTGGCTCTGCATGGAGCGTTAGAAATCGATGTGCTGTACCTTATGAGTAACAATCCGGGTCTCTTGTTAAAAATGAGTTTTTTTCTCTTATACAGGCTTGCACGGAATGGTTTTGTGAGAAATCAAGAATGGAAAAACTAAAAAAGAGGTTTCTTTCAAAATATCGTTGAAAATTTCGCCTGTCATCAAACTCACTGATGATAATTTCATTTTGCACTGTTATCTAGCCATAAAAAGATAGCCAAAATTTTGATATTCAACTTTAAAGGTGAAAGGAATGCAAGATCTTTAATTCAACCATTAGTGGTAAGATGTTATAAGAAACACCAGAATATGACTGTGTTGTTTTGTAATTTACCATGGTTGCAACAACATAAACCATTTCAATTTTAAGGATGATAAAGCCAGGGGCCCTAGGCCTAGGGAAGAGTAATACTTTTTTTGCCTGTCTCACCCTCAATTCTAACTGTTTCTGTAATCAACTTTAATTTCTTGCTATTCTTTAGCAATGCGACTTTGATTATGTCATATTTTGCCCCAACTTGTTACAAGACGGGACACAATTAACAACCTCAGGTAAGGAAGAAGCTAAGGAATGTCACGGGCAAAAACATTTGATGATCGATGAAGAATATATCTGGTGTTTCTGCAACCATATTGATTATCAGTTACTCAATTTAGACCGGGAACAAGGTGCATGGTTAAGGTCTATGTTGGACGCTGGAGTTGTTCTAGCTTGATCAAACAGGATTGAATAATGTTGTGTAGCCACGCAACTAACATATGTAAAAAATGCAAAATTAACAACAATTGTTTGTTGTAGACACGTACAGCTTCTATACAGACAAAGAGAAGGAGAAAAAGAAATGTCATGAAATCCAAGACATTTGGCGTGAAGTATTATCTTTTCATAAACACTCTGATGTGTCTCCCATCCACACGTCTGAACTGAATTCTCGAGTATTTACATGCGTTTCCGATGCATTTCATTGGGTCGTTGACAATCAGAACGACCCAGGATCGTCATTACGTAACGTTATAGGAGGTGTTGAACACGTGCAGGTGTTTGTAACTGGGAGTCTGTTGTTAGTTAGTCTGGTATTGCAACTATTGGAGGCTGTAGAAGTTTGATAAAAATATAAATTTCCAAATTTGTTCCGTGCAACGATGCTAAGGCTCGACCTGAATGAATGACTGTTCGTTTTATTAATAAAACTTTAGAAAGAAAGCCCAGCTATGTGTGAATATTACTCAGGAAACTTCCACTTGGAATCTGGGCTACCATTATGATGAAATTCTTGAAACTCATTGCGTAATCCTCTTTGTTACAACTTACAACATGGCCGTTATGGCAATTTGTGGGCAATTAGCCTTTCTCACGATGACGAATAGCCGCCATTTTTGGGGTACCTTCAATTTTCTCAACATAAAAATATTTACGAATGCTCAAATATGGTAGAATATGGTAGACTATATATATACTTGCAACTTGCGTAAACCCTAATTAAAGGTGATGCACAACTGATTGGCGCAGTAAAAGTCACCATATCACTCAACTTATCAAATTGCCTAAATAGTGTGAAGGATATTAAACTATCGTAATACCGTACGCAATTACGCCAGCGTAGGAGAAATATCACTTGTAAGGACCTTGTAATATATACGCTACATAAGGTGGCACCACACTCGCATATACAGCATTAACGGTGAGGCAAGATAGTTAGATACGTTAGATTTTTGTGGAAGTCACATTTTTTATGATATAATTATGTAAAATTGTTATCAAACTTGGTCTTTTTCATTAGCTAATATTAATATTCGTAATATTTTCACCTCGTTCCCCACCCGCCCCATGTAGGAAATGTCATTCCCAAAATGCAGGTAATGGTATTCCAGAGTGTATTCCAGCGTTTCTACGTTCCAAAATACAGGGGTAGCAGCCCCTGGTCGGGCAGACTATTAGCCCCTCCCCCCTCAAAATTTCTAGCGCCGTACGTCTATAGCAATGTAAGAAACATTTTTTAAGAGTCAAGATCGCAATTTGAAAAAATAGTACCCCAAAAATGACGGCACATTCGTCATCGTTAGACTGACGAGTGACAATAGACCATAGATCATAATAATGGTCAATAATAGACCGGAGTAGTCGCGTACACGCGCGAGCGCCACGAAAACGTTTCTGGACTCCTATGGATGGATAGATCTAATCCACTGATCTAATCGCAATTCGGCATTCGCAAAACATACTTGATTTTATACGAAGAAGGTTTACCACAGTTCTACGACTATCGACCATTTCATATTGGAATATGATTATATGAACTCTGGTCTTTGAATGTTGAAATGATATTGTTTTGGCTTTGTGATTCCACCACGTGTTTTGTGGCTAATCACCCATGCAAAGACGATTATTTTTTTCCAGACAGGCTGTTCTAGGCTGTGACATCGTAAAACGTTTTTCTGTTTGCGTAAAAATGAACAGAACCTACGAGGTACTGTACACATATCTTAATACTTTTCGACGATAGTACTGTATTCAATTACATATAATTCATGTATTTTTTATTTGTGTCGATGATAATTTTATAATTTATTAAATATAAATACGTGACAGAACTATATAAAACGTCACAGGCTTACGATATGACAAATTTAAACGTACCAGAAATTTAGAAATAGCAATATTAAATTTGAGTGATTCATACATGCAATTATTATGATCTGTAGTGTTGGGTCTCATGTTCTGTTTATCCTAGCTAGATTACTCAATTCGTAGGTTAAATAAAAGCACAAGAACAATAGTCAGGAATCAGTATACTTAATTCAGTGAAAATGAAATTTTAAATTGGAATTCATCAGTGTCAATTTAATCCTCTGGTTGTCTGGTTGTGTTATGTCAGTGGAACAATATAGCAGTCTAAATCTCTTGTTAGTATGAAATATAGCCATATCCCAATCAAAGAAACTGTTTAAAAATTGTTATTGCTGTTGCATAATGAAATACCCCGAGGCCATGCTGTATTTTGACTTTGAAAAGAAGCTAAGCCTAAATGTAATCATGATTCTAACTTGTTTCCCCCCTATCCTCTGCTTTATATTGTGATCTTCAATAAGCATCAGTCTATTTTTTTCAACACATTTCTTCTCCCTATTCCTGCTAAAGAATCTTTGGTGCTTGCTTTCCTTCTGGCAGTGCTTGCAAAGACATGTTTTGTGGTACTGATAATTTTATGCTCACTGCACATTATATAAAGCATTGCTTCGATTCCTGCCGGAGAACCGAACCGATAGTTGACTCATTTTCCCATCAACTGTTTCTGGTTTGAATTTGATGTGTGTATAATTCCACTCGAAATTAAGACCCTTAGAACCTCTATGTATATATGGGTATATGCATAAAAATATTTTTACAAAATTAGTCAGAAATACCCGATTAATTTTTTATTCCAATTGTTGCTGTGGGTAGAAAAATGTTTTCCTGTTGATCCAGATAGTCCCCTAGTGCTGTGCTCCTTGCTCTAAAGTTCATATAGCTAGCAAATAGATCTGGACAGAGGATATGTTAATGGTGCATACTAATTATGAATTACAAGGCATGTGCCCTTCTCCCCCTAGATTAAAAAACATATAGGGTTGTGTAGGTAAGTTCTGTACTTCTTTAATCCCAAGTTTGTTGGCAATACAATATTTTTTCAACATTTTTATTAGGATGCTATTAAAGCATTAAATACCCTACAGTCCAACACTGCTGCCTTAAAAGAGATTTGTCGGAGTGGACAAATACGACAAAGTGATCGCTTTGAGAAAACAAAGGAATTTGCAGCCAGAGCTAAAGTACCGGTTAGTTTTTGATACTACTCATGGGTTTGGCCAATTGTAGTTTTGCATGTTCTAAATATATATTAAATGATATATGTTTTATTATCATCATCATTGTTACTTTTTTCCCAGGTTGACAAACTTGATAAGTTGGCAGCAATTCATATCAGTGGTACCAAAGGAAAGGTACTTTTAACTTAGGGCCCATGAGGCATGCCTGTAGCTGTATAAAAGTATTGAGAATGTTCAGTAGTTCCCGACAAGTCACAGTTAATAATGTTCAATCATCAAAGAAAATATACAAAATCACAGTTCTCAACGTTATCTCACTCATGATCACTCTCACTCGTTCTCGTTACACCCTATCTAATCAATGGTTGCAATTATATCTTTAATTACTTACGTCATGCACGAACCTTGAATAATATGGCCTTAAATGGTATTAATGGTAACTTTGCTTATAATAATGTACTTATCTATCCCGTCAGTCTCCGACAAAAAGTATGAGTCTCCGACAAAAAGTATGAGTGATTTAAGTAATGCGTTACTGATTTGTTGCTTTTAGTTTGGTGTTACATTGGAATATAATAAAATAGTGAGATTTTTCTAAACCAGTTAACTGTTTCCTAAGAGTGCAGAAAACGCTTTACATTTTAGGGTTCAGTTTGTGCATTTTGTGACAGTATCCTTCGTGAAAATGGATTAAAAACTGGCTTCTATAGGTAACGTACAGGGTAACTCAAGACCCGTTTACACTACACTCAATTTATCGGCGCGGCACGGCTAAAATTGGTACCCAGTAGGCTACCAATACAAAGGCCGAGCAGAGATAAAATTGAATGTTGTGTAATCAGGGCTTCAAAGCAAAGGTTATTCAACTTTAGCACGCTATTGCAGTGATGTGACTTTAACACGCTATAGCACACAGTAATATTTTACGCATTTTCAATATTTCGAAACCAAACGTCCCAATCTTACTAACTTTGGACCAGTCTGTACTGATGAATTTCCTATTTTCTGTCAAACTCCAGCCAAAAACTGAAGCTGGTCCAGGAATATCTTTATTGAAGTTGGGTTATCTTTTTTCATACAATTTGCCGTACTAAACACGATGTTACAATTTTAATCTAATCGTCTAGTTCCCCACATTTGGTTGAAGTTCGCGAGAGAATACGCATAAACGGAAAACTGATCTGTAAGGATGAATTTGCTCGCTATTTTTGGAAATGTTGGGACAACTTGAAACAGGTAAACATTTTAAATAAGTGAGGATTTTAAAATGTTTAAAAGCATCAAATGTGGGATAACAACTGCCTAAAATCTCGTGTATAAAAGCAGCATAATTTTCTTCTTTATACATTGACCCCCATGTTTTGGACTCCGAATCCCCATTTAATCTAGATATTTGAATTTGAGATTCTGAATTTTCTAAAAACAGTACAGACCAAGGTATTTACAGTTTAAATAGCTAATTCTTGAACTTTTGCAGGATGAAAGTAATGATATGCCACCATACTTTGTTTTTCTCACTATCATGTCATTTTACATCTTTTTACAAGAAAAGGTAACATTCTTGTTTTACTCCATGTGGCCTAAAAGACTCGTTGTGACGTTGAAGCCTGGCCAAAATTGTAGTGTACATATATTATTAAAGCTTTCTCTATTGAATTGATTCTCGTTGTAGGTTGATGTGGCAATTATTGAAGTGGGCATCGGTGGTGCTTTTGATACGACAAATATTTTGAGGTAAGGTGAACTTTCAACAAATCATAAATCTTGATCTCTTAGTCGTTTCTGATTGTCAAATTTAAGATTGATTCTGTATGAAATTTCCAGGCAACCCTGGGCTTGTGGAGTGACATCACTAGGTCACGATCATGTTGCCGTACTGGGTGGTACCACAGAGAGCATTGCATGGAACAAAGCTGGAATTTTTAAGGTGAAAATCGTTATAGAAATTGACCCTCGGTTCTTGCATGGAAAAAATTCAAACACCCTTTTTAACCGTCTGTTAGGTGGCGAAATCTCATGCATGCATTAGCCTCTACCAGCTGAAACAATTTTTCAACTTGCGAAATGCATTTCGGGGTGAACATCCAGGAGGAAAAGGTTAAACTGAATTGATTTCCTCAAATGAAATTGCTAAAAACCTTTTTGTAATAAACCATCACCAACTTACGCGATAAAAAGTGTTTAAAGCGCAGATAAAATGATACACTGTATGAGAATACGCTTAAAGTAGAATATACTTTTACTGTTCAAAACGACTATTTTGTGTCGGCATTTTCAGTGTGGCGTTCCAGCATTCACAGTGCCTCAGGATGAGATATCCACAAGAGTACTAGCGCAGAGAGCTAAAGAATTAAAGGTTCACTTTGTTTTAACTATTTTATTTGATAATAATAACGACTTAATTAACGGCCAACCCGTAGTTTTTATCGTAAGAAATTTGTGATAAAAGTATAAAAATATTCACTCTGTAGGCGCCGCTGAAAGTTGTTCCCGAATTGTGTAGTTATCCTGGAGAAACTGTCACTAGTACGTATAAAATTATAAGTTATAGATACATTACAGGCTATATGTAAAAATATTCAAGAAAAAATGTTTCAGCAACTCGAAATGTTCTTAATCAAGGCTGGCATCGATACGGGAGTGTAGCCTGGGCTGTGTTGTGTGAAGCGAATTTCCTATATACTGACCATGTATTGGCTGATAATAATGATCGTAACTACTGACTTTTTAGGTTTAGGTATTGAAGGTCGACATCAATTTTTGAATGCTTCCTTAGCTTTACAGCTGTGTAACACTTGGTTAGATCGTTACAGAAAAGGTTTGTTTTATTCTTGTTATTGTCTAGTATGAATTATGATTCAAAAGTGGTCACTGTTTTCATTTAACATTTTCTATAACCTCTGTTTACTTTAGAAACGAACGGTAATGATAATTGTTATGAAACACCAGCGGTGACAAATGAAGATGTTCAATGTGAAAAATTGATTCCGTCGGCTGAACCATTCCCTATAAACCTGAACATGAAATTCGGTATTGATATTTAAAGTGTTTTTATTACTTTCGAAACTTTCGTTTCTGCAGCGATCAGATCAGTAGCTATTGCTGATCATTTTCAAGACTGGAGAAAAAACGCTGACAATCTCCAAATCTTTTGATGTTCTCTAGCGCTGGAGAAGACTTACTGGCCTGGAAGATCACATTGCATCAAACGAAATAATTACACATTATATCTGGATGGAGCTCACACGCCCAAGAGCATTAATGTAAGTCTCTAATGTGGTTTGTCTATCTGAATTAAGTGAAAGTAATCAAATTACTTAATTCATCGTCAATTTGCAGTCGTAATATAGAAGCCAAACGAAAAACCCCGGGTACGAGGTTGCCAGAAACTACTTATAAAGCCCATTCTCCACTAGGCGAATTTGTTCGCGCGAACAGATAAAAAGTAGCAAGCGATTCTATTTTTTCGCGGCGAATTTTTTCGCAAACTAATCACATCACTGAATTTCAGATATCGCGAATAAATTCGCCTAGTAGTAAAATGGGCTTAAAATTCACTGCGTAGGCGTACGGGCAGATATTTTTTGTGGGGGCTGCGCTGAATTTGCCCGAATAACATGACATCATAGATTTCGTGACGTCATCATACAATTATATAATCTGAGAAGACTACAAATGAAAGGCTTTCCTTTACCTGACAGACGTGATATAAAAAGAAATGTTGTCCCTAGCCATTTCAATTATAAGCTAAATATATTCATTTTCGAACATTTCGGTGCCCGAATAACAAGACACGTTTTGCCCGAATAGATTAATTTCCAAAAAAATTTAAAGCCCCAGCCCCACCCTCCTCTATGATTCACTGGACGGTCAAACTTGCGCGAATTCTTTCCCAGCCTCATTAGCTGATAAACGGGATCCCGGCAAACTAGCCTTCCTAGACAGTATACTGCTGCCCTAACCACCGCTAGAAAGACATAAGTTTTGAAACCTTTAGATGTTGTAAATGACCTTTCTTTTATCTACCTCTAAGGGCAAACCACTCGGGCAAACTAGCTGACTAAAAAGATTATTTTCCTTGTTTATTTGTAACTAATATACTTCATGATACAATTATATTAATATAATTGTAAGAATATGATTCGTGTTCATGTATATCTACCTGAAATTAAAAATTGTCCAATACAGCTTGTAGCTACTGGATCAACTGCCTTTTGTTGTTTTAGGCTTGCTCGACATGGTTTTGCAAAAGGGCCGATGAAGAAAAGAATAATTTAAGGTACAGCAGAATGCCATTACTCTGAAAGTTTCTCCCCTGCAAAAAGAAATGCAAGCCATTGTTTTATCTCGTACTTTTTAGCCCACGAAATGTTGCCCGAGTGTTGATATTTAACTGTACCGGTGAACGCGATTCTCGCAAACTGTTAGCTCCGCTTGTGGTAAGTAATCCTTTGTAATCACCGCATGGTCTGAAGAGAGGGTTTTAGTAATCTGTTTGGATCAAGCGCCCTCATCTAGGATCACTAGCCCTATACTCTCATTAAAAATAGTTAAGTATTATTGAAAGCAGAAAACTTGGAATGAAGTGAGACTTATAGAAATGTGTCTTTTTTTGACAAGTCTATCGAGATGGTAGTTTACTTTGAAGCAGATATATTTCCCCTTTATAACTTGTAAAATTTAACTCCATTATATCTTCGCATTTGTTTGCAAACTATTTACAAATATGGATGCTGATAAGCGACTATATTTTCTCTTTAAGATTTCGTTGTGCTATAACCTGGTACATGACAGGCAGTATAATTAATATTGGTTATAAATTTTTAAACTTTTTTCAGTCTTGTGACTTTGATTTCGCTATATTTTGTACAAACTCAATCACGGAGGAGTCTGCGAGGAAAAGTTCAGGTAATGATATTCATTGTTCATTGATAATAACAATAGCATCTATTTTCTATTTTTATTATATCCCGTAATACATCTGTAGCATTTTTAAGGTGCAAAAATGTATGTAACCATGTCTGTAAAAATGTCTAAAAATTTGCTATGAATATATTTATCAGGAGTATTTTTGAAAAGCAACGTGTTTGTAGCAAAACGTGAGATTGTAGGATTTAGCGAACAATAAGCGTGCAAATGTCATGGAATATTAATTATTGCTTTCTCCGAAGCTCCAGGTGAAAAATTGCCATAAAATTAAGTAACGGGTGGTAATAAATGCCTTTGGCTCACTGCAAAGGTACTTTTCCTAACTTAAGCTATAAACTGTATTAGTGATTATGGTGTACGAATGCACGGAATGAAATGTTGGATACTAGCATTATTCCTGATAAAAAGCATAAACAACTCCTACGGCAAAAACACTGCCATTGTCAAAAGACTCCGAAATGATCGCATCGTATTCAGTGTTCGATAAACATCGACTCGCTTGTAGAAAATGTTGACCTGATTTGGAGCCCACGGTCACCACGCATACAATCTTATATCGAGGCATATCGAGTAACTTCACGGCAGATTTAATTTGCTCGCTGGTCATCATTGCTACGAGATTACAGCGATCCGCGTCGTACGACTCTTCCCATAGATTGCGACGTAAAACCTCCGAAATAATTTCACGTATTTTTCGGGATTCCACCTTACAATTTGGTTTTAATTGCATCGTGTTTGGTACATGCTTTGCCTTCGGCTTGCCATTCTCAAGAAAAACGTTGTTGTTGAAATTGTTAAGCTGAACTCCACGTCTCTTTGTCCTGCTAGAATAATCACTGCCGCTTGAACTGTCATTGTCATATGTCTTGTATCCCTTGTGATAATAACTGTTAAAACCTTCCATTGTTATGGGGGAAATATTTGCCTTTTTGTCTTGATACCTGAACACGAACCAGTCTAAAGTCGTGTTCCTTTTCTGTAACATGCAAAAGTTTCGTCTTATGAAACTAAATCGGTAACCACAGTTAGACGAGTACCTGCTCTCGCTGCTTAGCAACGTTTTAAACTCTGCAAGGTGTAAGCTACAGGATGTCAACCCAGCTACCTGCCTAAATAAACCTGTTCAGTAAATCTGTCATTGCTTTTAATTTTTGATGTCAGAAAAAAACAAGTGAACGAAAAAGTGCTTGGATTATGATTAACTAGTTGTACTAAATTTTCTTGAGATTATTGCATAACATGAGACCATTCTACCAATTACTATCTTTAGTCTAAGCTAAGGTGTTTGGATAAATTAAGTCTGTTTACATGGGTGATGGGAGTTGTAAGATAATGGAACTGGCGTGTCTCATGTAGTCTGTAGTCTAAATGTGGTCCTACTTCTTAGATCTGTCAGATTTCACTGCTAGCCTGAGTTCAAGACTAAAAAGATGCCATGAAAATCACGAAGCCTGGAAACGTCTCACTGGCGAAACTGGTTCCATAACTTTACATGATTTGGACAAAAAATTGCGTGCTAACGCAATGCAAAATTCGTGTGTGTTTTCCTCAGTGTTGGAGGCTCTTCATTGCGTTCTTGCGGAACGTGAACCGTTGTTGGATGCTAATCCTGAGCATTCTCGCTCACCACGTGTTCTATCACATGCAAATCACATTCAAGTTGTGGTAACTGGAAGTCTGCATTTGGTTGGAGCCGCGATGAAGGTACTGGGACCTAGTATAGTACAAGTTTGAAGTTATTTCATAGAACAGTCATAGGATTAGCGCCCTAGCTAGAGACACGCCCCGTTGCTTAAGGGCAGCGTGGCCTTGGAGAAGTCGTGGAAACACTACAGTGAGTGAAGCTGTGATCTATTGAGATGATGCTTCATGGAACGATTTCTAACGACAATTTCCAATGCAAATTACTGTATATGAAATTTGATTGCCTCAAAAGCCCGAGGCGCTAAAAATCGTCATTGAAAATCGTTCCATATAACATCGCCTTTATGGCCAAATTTTTTTCAGAGGGAGATGATTACTAGTGATTATTGTTGAGGCTTGAGGTTTTTCAAGCTATGATTTTTAAATGTTTTATAACAGCTGGCTGAAAATAGGACATTTGATTTGGAAATAAGATTGATCATTCAATATATGAATCGAAACCTAATATAAATGATATAGCTAATTATATACCACAATTAGTATAATAACCACATCTTTAGATCTTACACATCAGATGTCATACTTAGACAATTATTACAATTATAAATACAATTAGCCATTTATCTGGCTTCCTTTTTTGTACACTGTATATCTACTAAATATATTTTACTTGTCAAATATGTTTAGCTATTCTTTTGTTTTTCTTTGAGCTGCATACTCTAGTTCACAAATGATATTTTCCCATTCTTGAAATTGTCTTGATAAACTGTTGATCTTTACAAAATTGTCAAGGAAAAACAGTATTCGAAAGTAAGGTTATAGAAGGTCAAGGAAGACCAAGCTTGAGCAAAACCATTCTCAATCTTGGTGTTGCAATAGTTTTAATGTGACAACATTAAGGATACAATGTTATTGTATGTGACTAAAAGTTCACAAACTTCTTCATCCAACAGTTCTACCTCTTCCTAATGTGTAAGAGTTGTCAAAGAATAATAAACAAATTGAAATATATAACTACTATGCAATTCGAAATGCATCATAGTTTGTCATCAGGCCGAAACGTACCAGTTGTTGTACATTAACTTGTACTAATGGTTGAAGCTTAGATGACCATTCTGGCAAATCTAAAGTATAAATTACCATAAAAGTTCTATTATAATTATTTTATGTCTTACAATTGTAATTCATGCTAGAAAATTTATGCAGTAACATGTTACCTTTAAAAGTTGCCTCACTGGGAACATTTTTTAGCTGTTCCAATGTTTGAAATTGTTCTGCTGTAGTCCTTAGTTGCTGTTCGCCTAAATGGAAAATTACACAAGTTTAATTTTGCTAAATGGTAAATTTGTTTTGAACGCATGTCAATAAACCAGTCAGTTTAAATTTTCTTACTAGCCAATATTATATCTGCTTTAGATTCATCTGTAAGTGTGAGTTTCTCAATAAATTCAGGTGTTAGATAGTCTTGCAACTCGTTTACTAACAAGAAAAAATGAATACAAATTAAGTTTATAAGATTGGAAAGTTTGCAAATTGCAAATACACTCTGCCAGTCTGCCTTGCCAGCCTTGGAAAGTCAGAAAATATTTTATATGTATATAATTTTTAAACTTACATCTCTTCCATAAAGCTCCAACCTTGGAGTATCGTGTTGTGATTTTATTCATATTTTGGTTTACCTGGGCTAAGACATCCGCACACTATAAGATGCGAATTGAAAGTTAACCTATTTAATATTATAAGTAGATATGCATTTGAAATAAACAACAAAATTTTTAATTGCAAACATGTTTCGACTTAACTCTAAGCCATCTTCAGTGCGAATGAATAAGTTATTTACATTATGAAATATATAAAGTAGAAATATGATACATGCGATTAAAAATTTAGTTGTTTAGTACAAACTCTTCAGCTATTCTGACACATCATAAAAGTACATATGTTTGTCACAAAATTTTCAAATCAAATTTTACATGGGTGAAAGATTCAAAAATAATGAAAAATATCCCGCCTATATTAAAAATTGCTATGCAACATACTGAGGTTTTTATTTTCTCGGGATTTGAAGAAATAATACGCTTTTCAAGCGCTTGAATTCTTTCTTCTAACATGGCCACGCCTTGGCTCGCCGCCATTTTGATTATTTTTTTTGCAATAAACATTAAACACGCGCAATTTTCGCGCAGAACGCGGTGGACACGCATTTTCGAGCAGACCACAGCCACTGACCACACCCTAAAAGCAATGCCTTGCAGCAGGCCTGGCTTTGCAAACGAGTCTTATGTTGTTGTTTTTTTAATTCCGAAAGAAAGTCAATTTTAGCAGTAAGCCTGCAAACAAAACCCCCTTCAAACGAAATCTCAAAGCATGCACGGCCTATTTTCCTACTGGACGCACTTTTAACTCATAAGCCAATCACAGACCAGGCTGTGAGGGGTCAATCGGTGAGGGGTAAATTTGAACACATATTGGTGAGGAAATACCTGGGACTTGGTCATAATTTACAAAACATCGTTTTTTTTATTCTATTGCTTATTAATGGTTCCACTATAAAGTAGTTTTGTTATATTTTATATAATATTTGTTTATTGAAAGTACAGTGTCGTTGAAGTTTTAATCTCGGGAACGAAAAAGTTGAATTAGTAAGTCTTTAAGAAATAAGACTTCAATATATATTCTTTATTCTTATATAAATACTGCTAACCACTGACTGATTTTGTTAATTCATGGTTATAAACAACGCCATAAATTACTGCCAATTCGCATTTATCCCCTACATGCATCCCCTTTTGTTCACAATGACATTACTTTATTCGTTTTGTTCAGAAGAGGACGCTGGTAATACTTTCAATACAAGTTTCAAACTGCCAACTGCGAAGCAAGGTTAGTGTAATAGTGTAACCTCTCGGAGTCAATTTTCATAAAAATGTATTTAAAATATCCAAATTACTGCATACAATTCCATCCTTTCAATTATGTACGTTGCAAATTTGCAATTTGTGTTTGATTATACATTTGTGATAGTAAAATTACATTGATTTACTAGAATAATAAGTAATAATAGTTCTAAGAATTATTCTGTTCTGGGCAGCTCAGTTTCTGTTAAAGCTCCAGATGGTGTCATGTTTACATTGTCTGTCAAAACTTTTTGATGATGTGCGGCAAAGTGCCGCAGTTGTTCCTCAAGGCTGCTAGTTTGAAGCTTGTTTGGAGAGTGCGACCATTCTGTAATCAACTGTGTGGCATCATTACTGGCTGATAGAATATTTGCCACTTTGAATAGTAAATCTTGATCAATGTTTTGAATTGCAACTTGTGGTTCTGGTGGTTCCATGATTTCATTAGACCACTGTGATATACTATCAAATTTCTCAGCTGGTTGCTTAACTTGTTGAGGAAAGCAGTTTTCTTTAGTACTTAAGTATTCAACATCCTTGTGTTCTTGCTGGCCATCCCCAGCTACTGGTCCATCAAGTCTGATATTGTTTTGTGAAAGTTGATTCAGATGCTCAACAGGATTGTGAAATGAAACTGCAGCTCCTAAATCAATAATCAGAATTACATATGCTATCCAGCAAATAAAACCAATGTTTTTAATATTGCTGGTTAAAAATGCGGATGAATGATCATTAGATTCGACTTTACTTATTAATTGTTAAGCTGCATGCTTCAAGTAGATTAATCAACAACCTATTTGAAAGAATGTTATTCTGAATTAGGTATTACCAATTTTGAAGCATTTCAAATTTATGTGCACATGAGGGCATTGGGGGATAGCCCAAACCCTCCTTCTAACCTTTGGGTCTGAAAGAAATCTAAATCTATTTGAAATGTTAACATGGTATATACTTGCCAGGTTCAGAATTGAATCTGTTTACTTCCTGTGATGCTCCACCCATGGCTTCATCAACTAACTTCTGTAGTTTCACCTGTTGGTCCACTTGTCGTTTATCTTTAGCCCGTCTGTTTTGGAACCATATTTGAATTCTCTCTTCAGGCAATCCTATTTCTTCTGAGATGATTTTCCGACGTTTTAAATCAGGATACTTGTATTTTTCAAAATGTTGTTCTAAGACCTCGAGTTGTTCAGGATTGAATATTGTTCTACTGCGTCGGAACTTTGGACGCCCTGCAAAAAAAAAACATTCGCTCTTTCGTTGCCATTCCATAAGGCTAGTCATTGCCTCATTGGGGCAGGGCAACTTTTCTTGTCAATATGTCATTTGCATTACGTGCGCACATCATTGGCATTTAACACGCAAAAACGAAACAGGGTAATTTTGTACAAACCATCACTGCCGTATCCCTGAATTGCAAGGTTTCCATTGGCTTCAGTTAGATGAGAATAAGGATTGACATAAGGATAGTACATTTGCTGCGTGAAATATTGTGGCGGCAGTATGTGTTGAAAGTTTGCCGCTGTTGGATTGAAATATTCATTGCTGGCTCGCAACATCTCTCTGCGCAGTTCATCATTGCCTAAATTATCACCCATTTCCTGTCCTTTAGTAGTACAATTATTACTGATTATTGTATACACTCTTCAACTTGCTCTTGTTTCACACGCGGTGACTTTTCGTTTTGTTACGTCATTAACAAGTTTTATATGACGTCAGCAAACCGTAACGGTTTGGCACGCGAGATTTTGATCTGGTGTGATGGAACCACTGAACTCTATTATAATTCCCCCGAATTCCCGGAATTTTAAATATGTTCACTGGATAAAACTCGCGTTGGCTTGGCTTCTGTGACGTTTATGATATCTGAAGGTGGATTTCTAATCAGTGCAAAATATCAACTTTTTGTTTTCGCTTTCCTTTGAAATACATGCAGACAACCAGATGGTATTAATCCCATTATATGAGCTTGAGGCTTGACTGAACTCGTTTCCAAAGAAAGCGACCGCAAAAAATGGATAAAAACTTGAACGATTCTACGTGTATGATCACCCGAATAAACCTATATAAGGCCACCAAAAATGCGACACGTGTGAAATGAACATAAACAGAAATAATTCATTACAATCACAAACGATTCATCGACATCGTATTTAGAAATGCTTTAACCTAACGTGGTAGTATGACTGGACAAGGCAAGGTAGGACTCGTTCAAACTTCAAAGTTGAAAGGATCACAGTTCACTTCCGTTCCCGTACGTGTGAACTTCTGAACGTATAGTCTCTATGACTCAATCTGTTCAGGAAAGTTTGTGCAGGAAAGCTTGCGTTCATAGTACCTGTTTTTATCTGTTTTCTATGTCGTGATCTCATTTGGAGTTGAGGCCAGAACACATTTTGATATTTATAAACATCTTTCATGGTGCTTTTCAAAAATCACAACAAAATAAAACAATTATATCCATCAGCTAAAAAGCATAATAATGCCTGTTTGAATAATATATTTTTGTTACGAGATATTCTTGTTTGTAAATTAATAGCACAATCTCATTACATTTACCAGTTGTTAACCAGCTATATAAAAACATCATTCGCTAAAATCATAATATATCAACTGAAATAAACACATCATCTCTCGGTTCACAATAGAACACAGTCACTTTATAAACACATTGTTTAAGTTAGCTACTTCAGTTTGTAGTTTTTAATCGAATATCTTACGGCCATTCATTCAACTCAAGACGTCAGGAAGACGATTTGTAAATTCGTACGGTATTCGATTCCTTTTACCTGGCACAAATGTTTAAGCTTTAGTAATCACATATACCGTGAAAGTTTCGCCAGCCAAATGTTGCATCCACGTTCAAAACGCGCGTCTTTTGGTCTCTATATTACTGGCGTTTTGTCTGGAATATGGCTTTGTTATATTATTTTGAACGGGAAACGTGTTTGGTACGAATCTACGTTGAAAAATTCAAGATCTTCCACATCTAGAATAGGACGAGACTTGCCTATTGTATTCATTGGCGGACATCCGCGCAGCGGTACGACGCTCATGCGCGTTCTACTTGACGCACACCCGTCATTTCACTGTGGCCAAGAGACACATATCATTCCAGATCTACTAACAATACGACGCAAATACAGCCGGGGACGGGATTTAAAACGTTTACTCGAGGCGGGTCTTAGTTTAGACCTTATCAATACGACTATAGCCGACTCAATTCTTCATATCATCAAATCACACGGCGGGCATTCCAAAAGACGTTGCAACAAAGACCCATTCTCCTTAAAACATATTCCATATCTCGCTCAGATGTTCCCAAAAGCGCAGTTTATTCTAATGGTTCGCGACGCTCGCGCTGTGATTCACTCGATCCGTGAAAACAATATAAAAATTTCTCGCTTTCCGAAAAAGGATTCCGAAGCATTGCGCCGCTGGAACAAAATTCTGGAAATCATGTTACAGGACTGTTTGCGTGTCGGAAGCGAGCGATGTAAAGTTGTGCATTACGAGAGTCTTGTTGTCAAACCACGTTCGATTTTACGGCAAATTGCGCATTTTCTGAGAGCTCCGTGGAGTGAGAGTGTTATGAATCATACTGGATACCTGGATAAAGCAGATGGAATTTTATTATCAAGGTAAAACTACACCGTATGGCAGAATTTCCCTATCTAGTAGATGTCCGAGGCACGTGTAGTAAAAGATGTAGATTGTAGGATATTCTTTTCCCTTTTTTTCTTCTAACAATATGCTCTCCCTCGTCGCCATTTTCATGGTGTTCCTCCCCGATACTGGAGCTAGTATACTGTAATCTCGGTAAAATGTGACACCATAATAGAACGAGTACAGCCTCTCGTACTCCTTATATACGTATGTCAGTATACATAGGTAGTGTTTTCTTTTTTACGCCTGTGCGATACACGCGTAAGAATCTCACATCTTGTATGCACGAACCCTGTAAATAGTCTATCTATATAGTTAAATTGTCAGCTTCCATTAATGAAACTCATTGTAATGTAAGTAGGAAGATTCAGCCTCGTTTGATTCTCTGAACCTTCATTCAACATGATTTACATTCTCCAGGCTGGAAAAATCGACGCATCAAGTACGGAAACCAATATACAACGACTCATTGCATTTATGGATGACATCACCATTAAATATACGGTCCGAGAAATTGGTATCCATGGCACCAATGATGGACACCTTAGGATATCTAAGGATTGGTAATCCTCCCAAATACACTGAGTTGAAATTAAGATATCCGAGTAAAGATACTTATGAATAATGATAACTGATGTAGGTTGTTGGTACATAGGTTGTTTTCAGCATGCTATATGGCTTAATTTAGCGCTGTTAGCTAAATCGTTCGACAAATAGTAATAATAAATAATGGAACACACACAAGGAGTTTTCAAGTTTACTATTTATTCACGGGAGCAGCGCTTGAGCGACGTTACATTTTAGTTACTTCATACTCAAGGAAAAGTGATAATTTTTGTTGTTATTGCTGTCCCATTTCAGATTATGTCGATACCCGCTGAAGTAGAACCAGATAACGACCTTTTGAGCATTTTTTGGGATGTCGTAAATGGTTGTCATGATTGGATTGCCCGCCTGATTTCCGCCTTGTAGCATCTTCTGAATCACGGGTCCGTTATCGGAGAACTGCACACGTGCAAAGATATTCCATGCGTATCCCATGCCTAGAATGGAATGAGTGGCTGGGTTGAGTAAATTAGATACAGAGAAGCGATGTAGGTCGAATATTTCAACGCAAATTGAACCTACCCAAGTACGCGATATCCCGCCATGGTAGTCTTATTGAGTCGTAAACTACTTGAAACTTTTCACCAGGGCGAAGGCGTCCTACAATATACTCACGCCAGTCTCCTGTGAACACGATTTGATTGAAAGGAAAGCGGTAATTTTTACCAAAATCACTGTCATAAGAGTTACCACTGTTAGCGCCAGAATACTTGAACCAAATAATAAAATCTGTTGCGTCTACCGGGATCTCTAATACTATTTCCATGTTGCCATCCTTATTCGGCCCCTTCATCATTACCGAGTGAACTTTTCCCCCCTCGGAATATTGAACCTCGGCAAATATATTCCAGGCTCTTTGATTGTACCGGGTGTCTCGTTTGGGCAATCTTGAGGCGTGATACTCTATATAAACTCTCTCCCCAGGTACCAAAGTTCCGTGCAGGGTTTCTTTCCAATCTTCACTGAACACAATCTTGCTTAGTTTCGGTTCTCTGAAATAGAATCAATTCTGTGTATTGTCATGGTTGTTATTCGTTAGGGGGTTGATTTGCCAAGACTATATATATGTGGTACCTTGTTCAGTTGGTACTTAGGCAGTGATGAATCTAAATTTTCTGAAAATATAGTTAATCCCCTCCAATGATTTTTAATTCATTTTTAATCCCTATATATTCGTCGCCACCATGCTAGTGACGCAATTAGGCGCCAGCCTCCATTTTAGATAAGGTGGTAAGGTAAGGTATGCGTACCTTGTTGGTGTTGGCTGTCCGCTTCCCACATCATCCATCTCTGAAAGAAAGATAAATTGTCTGTCAGTACTTTGTCTATAACCTATACCACATGCAGTTATACTACGTTCTTTTTTCTTATAGGAACTATGGAAGCTTTATCAACAAAGATGTATCGTGGAGTGTGTACGATACACAAGTACAGATCGGCGCTCGATTATAGCCTGATTATAGACGTGAGTAAACGTTTTCTACCAACGTAGCCTCTATTAATATATTGTTCTTTGATGACATGCCTGTAGCGTGAATTGTTTTTGCAAGTAGCCAAACGTTTCGTTACAATGTGACGATATAGCTACGTCTACAAAGCCGGTCAAAACAACCATCATTTAACACAAACGCGAGAAAGTTCTCTACCCGCGAAATAGCTCCCGGTATCTAGAGTTTAGAATATAGGCCTGTATTTGAGTTTATGTTACAACTATAGTCGTTAGGGCACATTTTTCAGACGGGGTTACAGTCTAGCATTGACTCGCTCCATTTCCGAAACCATTCGTGCTAGAGGGGGCGAGTACCCTCTCCCCCCTATCTTAATCTTACCAACATCTTGTAGCAGAGCTGTACACAAGAAAGCTTGCACTGCGCAAAGAATCACCGGAATAAGCTTCATTTTTCTTCTCTTACTGTTGCCAGTTAAAAAATGAAATGAAGGAGAAAGCATTATTTGTTTCTTTTTAAGTTATTGAAAAATTTGATGATGTTTACACAAAATGTAAATATCATTTTCTTAATATGTGCACACATGTTTGAAGGCGATTATATACCAATTTTTCAGAATATTCCGTGCGCGTGGTTAGTATATCATGAAAGAGGAAATGAGCATTAATATTTTGTTTGACAGATGACATAAAAAGCGCGTATAGCATAACTATACGGAAGGACATACTTGTCGAGGTATCTCAACTCGAAATACCCTCGTCAAGGACACGGTGCTTTGATAAGAAATGAGTGTTTACTTCTGCTGATAGCGCGCTTTTGAAGAGAAAATTTGCTACTCGTAATTCGCAAACACTAGTTGTAGACCGCATTTGAAACAGCATTTATCGTCAACATACCTTTTCTATTTTTAATTATATCTTTTGTTTAAGGTAATTAGGCTAATTTACACAGATGCCTTTTTATGTAAAGTAATTAATACACAAATTACACCCCGAACCAATCCTATGGCTAGACAACATTCATTTGTTCAGTTGTTTAACATGTATCATTCAAAGAGTTGTAGACACGAGCGACAATTTACATTTAGTGGTACTCAAGCTACGTACAGCCAAAATCGTTCAATCGTTCAATATTATCTTTGAACTCTTGAAGTTTGTTCACAGGTTATAACGGGTTAATATTTTAATAGTTTGCCCAAGTTATAGGCATAGTGGGCATGACTATTCAACTGTAACGAGCCTATTCACACGAGGCGAGTTTTCTTTGCTACCTACGACGCCCTTTATTGTTGTTCCATATAGTCAGTTTGAAGAAAGTTTGGTTTAAAGTTTCGATTTCAGTGATACGTTGCGATACGTTTATGGGATGAAAATCGAACTCCTTATATTGCGATGAAACTTCAAGGGAAGTGGTTCGCTAGTCAAATTTTTGCACGATTTTTTTCTATCAATTGAGAGCGGTCAGTCAAGAATCAAAAGAAGACATTTTTTGTTCGCGATGACCATTTCTCTGTGTGGAAGTGGAAATAAACCCTTTGTCAAATTTCATTGACACAATACCCTATTTGTTACCTGATAAGATTTTAATATGAACACTGTCATGGTAACAAAGATTTCTGATCTACGCTAATTCCCGATAGTCCTCCATATATTGTGATCACTGAAAGCCGGTCAACCAATCATTGAGACGAGTAATTATATGCACTGCATTTTCCCCCAGTTCCTCTTCACGAGACTGCCACATGTTCATACTTAATTTCCACGTGATCTTCATGATTATTGTTGAATCATGAAGGATTTTCTCACAACATTCAAGTACGACATGCACTTAGACCTAGGTTATGTTATACATCACATTTTGGTCGCGTCGAGTGCAATAATCGAGATGATAAATCTCAATATGTACCAACTGTATAACCACCTAGTATAATCACCCTATATAACTCAAACTTTTGCACCGAATATGGTTTTCGCTATTGGGTCAACCGGATGTATATATTTGGTTTTGCAGGTTGCATTGACTTGTTCTATCGCCAATTTTTTAATGTATACGACTACCCATTTTCAAAAATCTTTGTCAGCCCATGATGCACAAAGTGCTCTGTCTATAGCAAAATTTTTATTCTTTAGCGATATTGCATCGTAGAATATTACAACTTGATGTGAACCAGGCCTAACTTATTGACAAGCCATGGACAAGAGACATGTTCAAGTTAGCATACAATGCTTTTGGAAGTTAATGCACATATGCTGAATTTTAAATTTATCGCATGATCACCCGACCGGTATTAGAACATATCTCCCCCTCTTTGCGTGATTGTTATTATGATCCCTAATTGGAATCGTCATGGTAATTGTTCGTTTAAGCAGACATTCAAAATTATTCGCTGTGCAAACAATTTTTAATCAAACTTGAGGTCTCACTCCAAAGATTCTTCCACAATTTTTTTTCACATACAACTTTATTAACTAAGAAAACATTGATTACATCAATCAAAATCAAGTCATACAGTTTAATAACTAAAACAGATCAGACAAGCGAGTAAAAGACACAGAAAATCGTAAGTAAAACTCAAAATAGTGTTTTCTAAGTCTAGGAAACACGATTCACTCATCGACACTACGACGAACACTTCGTATGGATACTAAAACATATATTGTTCAAAAAAGTTTGAAGTTACTCGGTCTCGGACAATGGAAAGTGATAATTCTGTCCATAATCACTGTCGTAATGTTTGTTGCCATCGTCATCTTCGTAGTAAAACCACATTTCCACTTTTTCGGCATCTTCAGGAATGGAAATTACTGAAGTTTGATAACTTGAACCATCGGTGCGATCGAGTGCCTTTGTTAAAACATCATCATCAACAAATTTCATCTGTGCTTGCACCTGAGCGCCTTCTTTCAATCGTCGGGAATCATAAAACAAATCGAAATGACCACCAGCGACCAGGTCTCCATGCTCTCTCTCATCCCAGGCCTTTCTCTCAAACACAATGCTCGGTCTTGTGATAGGAAAGTAGTAATTTTTACCATAGTTGCTGTCGTATCGGTAGCTAGTGTAATAACCCCAATGTTTGAACCACATCAGGACCTTCGTCGCGTTAATAGGGATGCGAATGACTTTTTTGAAAATATTATCGCTTGGTTGATCCCCAAGTTCTTCAGATACGAAGGGCGAATAGTCATCAAATTTGTACTCAACGAAGATATCCCAAGCTGCTTGACCATACATTGTTGGACGCCAAGGTAGACGTGAACCATTGTACTTGATTTGGAATTCCCTTCCCACCCCGAGTTCACCATGGACATTTTCCTCCCAGTTGCCTGTGAAATCGATATTTGGCAGAGGTGCGCTGCTTTCACTAAAGTAAAGAGATTGAGAACATTATCGCATGCGTAGGCCACATTTATATATTATATATGAAGCTAAGGAAATGAGTTGCCTATACTGCATGTATTGTAATCGCTAATATGTATTTTTAATAGACTAGTCAACTGGCATGCAGTCAGGGGTAATAAATGATAATAATATTTATCATACAGATTTACAATGAACAGTTTAGTGTCCAAAAGTGATATACCCTCTATATTATAGTTGACGTCTCTAAAATGCACGGTAACGGTTGAAAGCCACGTTAAAACGGGTTAATATATTAATAGTTTGTACAAGCTGTAGGCATAGTGGGCATGACTATTCAACTGTAGCGAGCCCATTCACATGGGTCGGGCGAGTTTTCTTTGCTACCTACGACGCCCTTTATTGTTGTTCCATATAGTCAGTTTGAAGAAAGCTTAGTTTAAAGCTTCGTATTTCAGTGGTGGTATTATCACCTAAGTTTACCTGACAGAGTTTTCATCCTGCAACCTTCGAATAAAGTCTCGTTTACCTAAAAAGAAAGACAATATAATACTTGTATACTTCTGCAACTGCCAGTGCTGATTTCCAAGATAACAAAACCTAAATTGCTCGCAGTTTGGTATAACAATGTTAAAACCTTTTCTATTTGTAAAGTAGAGTTTCTTCTCTTGTTATTAATTGGCTTCTCAAACATTTTTGCTTCCAAACGTTTGTGAAAAATCCGTGGAATAGCCGGCTAAATTTACATATAATAGCGTCGCAAGAACTCGGGATGATGAATCTGTAATCAACTTTTATACTCACCTAAATGCCAAGCAAAAGTCGAGGTCACAGCTAGTAAAGTCAAAACCAAAGTCAATTTCATTTTGGATTTTCTCTCTTGCCTGTCCTTGCTTCTTCTTTTCTATCTCTTGATTCTTCAATGAACTCACGCTGTACTTGTCCCGACTCGAATTCTGGTAGTTGCAACTTGCAAACACAAGTTATCACCATACTTATGCAAACCTCGGATGATCCTCTCCACCAATCATAACTCGGCATTTATTAAACTGACCAATCGGAATACGAGCGCTCCAAGACAATTGCGATGCACTTGAGTGCCGTTGATAAACACACAAGACAGACCACAAGTTCCCCTTCATTGATTACCTTAATATCTAATTATGTAAATATTAATTGGGATCCGATGCAGACATTCATAAAGTAGATCGCAGGATATAGTTAACCCCTATTTCCGTTAGGATTTTCTTCCATTGTTAATTAAAATTAACAGCGATATGTTGATTTGATAACTAACACCCGCTTAATTATGACCTAAGTTGGTCAGAAATTCATGACCATGTTTTATAGTGTAATGACTTGCAACTAGCCAAAATCATTATTGCTTTATCAATAACACACTACATTACACAACTGAGCATATATGAATGCTTAATGAGGCATGCAGGGTTGCAGAATATTTTCCTCTCTTTTTATCATCGGGAACATCTAATAACATATACTGAATACAATAAAAACAATATAATATTTTCCTCCCTTATAACAAAGACAGATTACATGCACGAGATTATTATGCATTGAAATGCTACGCTACACGGATTATGTCCCCCCTTGCGGATATATATATACATAGTGTCCCACCAAAAAGAACCAATTTTAATTCTTAGGTTTATTGCAAAAATACGCAACCTCAGTCTTTCCCAAGAAAACCCACTGTGTTCTCAAGACGCACAATATTTCTGCTCTCAGTGCTCTGTAGTTTCTCTAAAATTTTCAACTCGCTCCCTATTGTACATGTAACTTCAGGAGCATAAATGCATGTGAAAATTAATGTCGCCCGAGAGCGTAATACTGTATGGGACAGCTATCTTCTTCGAATACAATATGTAGAACCATTTCGAATTGATTATGCCTTAATTGAGAACAATAAAGATTACTTCAGCAACAGGGACGTCTCTAGAAGCTCAACTGGTGGTGTATTTAACTAACAGTTAAGTCCTGTACAGACGGGCAAGCTTTCCTTGCCACGTTTTTTATATTTCTCTACCAGACATGCAGATATGAGCTAATATCTGTCTAGTAGAGAGTCAATCAGATTGCAACGGTTTGCTCATATCCAGCGCTTGTGTACATGCAGGGTGAGTAAAAAAACTGACACCTTTGAAATTCAAATTAGCCGCATAGCGGGGCATGGTAGAAAACACGGGTAACCGGATAACCGGATAGCCGGAAATCGGTAACTCTAGTAACTAATCATTGATAAATATCAATGTTCGATATCAAAATAAAGATTATGGACAACATTTCTAGTCTTAACGTTAAATTAGATCAAGAACAACAGGAACTTCAATTTCTATAACTAGAATATCTGTTTACATTTTTGAATCTAGATGTCTTTCAGTACATATTTGAGTTGAGATATTCAAGCACTCCTAATCAAACATAACTAACCTTTCTATTTCATCTACTCTACGATTTTCTATTTGTCGGGTCTTTTTTTCTGTCTTTCCTTTTCTTTAATCAATACTCTAACAAAAATTGTTGTAAACTGTATAGCATATATATTTTATTCCTAACATTATCTATAGCCATTATCTATAACATTATCTATAAATCGCCTTGCTTAGATTAACCCACCTTTCGCCCACACTGGATTGACAGGCGCGCTTTTTCTCTGTGTTGTATATATTTGCGTTGTAAAGTATTATATTTCATTCTGTCTGAAGATGACTTTGAAATAAAGTCGAAAATTTACAGTTTCAACCAGTGTCTTGTTTGATTCATATTGACTCTCAAGATGTTCTGTTCACTCGAAATTTGTTTTTTACTTAATCAAACGAATATTTATAAAGTTCACGCGGAACCTTTTAAAAGAATATGGAGATAATATTCTATAGCGCGTAAGACTTAAGGACAATCTAATTTACCGTTCAGACCAGAAATATTGTCCATAATCTTTATTTCGATATCAAACATTGATATTTATCAATGATCAGTTACTAGTGTTACCGGTTATCCGGCTATCCGGTTATCCGTTACCCGTGTTTTCTACCATGCCGCATAGCGGCTGTGGGTATACCAGATCAGTGCATGGGGTATACGAAGCATATCCAATAAGTGAACCCCATTAATTAACCTAAAACGTAAAGTTTGTTCCCTTTGGGAGTTAAAATGCATTCTAAGCTCTGTAAATAAAAAGAACAGTCTTATCAAATCGTTTTTCTAGCACACGGCCACGTTGAATTAGTTCAATTGGTTTAAACACTTTCGCAATTCCAGCCATAAGTTCGGGCCTAATTTTTTTTTACTCACCCGGTATGCAATCAACCCCCATTTATTCTTGTTCAAATAAGCCTAAAGACAACCGCTTCGAAAGAAATCAGTCAGTCATGAGACGAATAATGCGTACACGCGCCTATATGAGATTAGAAGGTCTGTTCACACGATGTATATAACTTACTTTGCAAACGATTTATTATCTTGCAATAGAGAGAGTAAAAACAAACTAGTGCAGAAGTTCACTACTCAAATTGTATTGTTTCATATACAATAAAGCTCACCACTTATCAACGAAGGAAATCATTAATATTCATACTTTAACTACTCACTATATAGATGGGTTGAAATGCATGCATTCACTGGTCAACACTACAAATCTGTCAGATTACTTAGATACTATACTAAAACATATCCTTCGGAAAATTTTACTCGGACAATGGAAAGTGATAATTCTTTCCATAATCACTGTCATAATGTTTGTTGCCATCGTCATCTTCGTAATAAAACCACATTTCCACTTTCTCAGCATCTTTATGGATGGAAATGACACCAATTTCATAACTTGAATCGTTGATCGCCTCAAGTGTTTCGGTTAAAACCTCATCATCAACAAATTTCATCTGTGCTTGCACCTCGACGCCTTCTTTCAATCTTTGGGAATCATAAAACAAATCAAATGTTTTCCCAGCGACCAGTTTTCCATGCACTCTCTCATCCCAGTTCTTTTCAAATACAATGCTTGGTTTAGTGATTTGGAAGTGATAGTTCTTGCCATAGTCACTGTCGTACTTATTAGGATCGTTTATATGGACGAACCACATCACAACTTTTTCAGCATCTATTGGTATTAAGATTTCCGTGTGGTAAATATTTTTTTCGTCTGGCCCTCCAAGGAGTTTTGTTTCGTAACCAGAACCGTCATTAAACTTGTACTGGACGAAAACAGGATCTGCAAGGCGTGATCCATTGTAGTTAATCCGAAACACTTCATTCACGCCCAGTTGACCATTAACAATTTCCTTCCAGTCGCCAGTGAAGTCAATACTGCTCACACTAAAACATTGAAAGGACACTTGTCTATATTAAGTTGTATTTACATTTTGGAAACGGCAGGAGCCTTTGAACCACCATCTCAAAAAAAGAAAAATATTTTTTTCGCGACGTTTACCTGCTTTCATCCTGCAGAACTTGAATGAAATCTCGTTTCTTACCTATAGGGAAATAAAAATAACTTATCCACAATGTAATCTTAGCTACCCAAGACCGATTTAGCTTTAGCTGAGCAAATGCAGATTTTATGCGGAACAGTATGAAAAGGCTTCAGTATAAGCATCAACATGTATGAATTCCGCCCTTGGCCTTCACTTCGGTTTAAGGGTGGGTTGACTAATATCTGCTGTACCGAAACCGGTTACCTCTAAACAACACTGTGTATACTTACCCCAATTCAAGGCAAATGTAGCGGTCACACTTACTAACACCAATACCAAAGTCAATTTCATCTTGGATCTTCGTTCGTTCAACTCCCTTACTACCAATGTGCAGTGAATCCAAAGGTGTCGTTTACAATTTCACCTTTCGTATTTAAGCATAAATCGGGACAGTATATCCACCAATCAAGCTCCAGTATTATATACATAAACCAATCAAATCCAGAACACTCCCGAAACAATAGAGATGCAGTTGAGTGGCGTCGTAAACAGGACATGCAGGATTACACTTCAGATCATTGGTTCCCTTCCAGTGGTTTACAAGAGTGCTGGGCACAGTGATTTCTTTATACAGTCACCGTTAGTTACTGCATGCTTTGGTTCAATTCATATGCACGTTCTGTTCACGTGTTCCTTCAGGCAAAGTAATGCAGTTGTGCATGAAACCATACATCGGGCCTTTATCTTATAAAAACGTCCTATATATAGGAATGATTTCAGACTCGTTTTCTAAGGTTAAGGTTTTTGACGCAAGCCAGTGGTTAAGAATTACATGCGGTCATGTGCGCCAGTATATTTTCGAGTTTTTGTAGCTACTTCGATTTAAGAAATAAAATCATTGTTGTATTGCCGTATACGGTGTTAGCTTGCTTGCTGATACCAGCTGCACAAAACAACTTGAATTATATGATAAATAAGCCATATTATGATATAGCTACTCATGCACTGTATACATGAGCTATTCCGCATGATTGGTCAAGCTACCCACCGTATATCAGCTCATATACGGTGGGTAGCAAAACCAAAGAAAAAGCAAAATGGTTGACCGGTTTGCTGAAGTAAACAAAGACGAAATCGACAGAATTCTGGAACACTTTTGTCGCTCAACAAATGGTATTTGGCTATTCATAGAACAATCATACCACTCGCTCTCGTCGTACATATACGACTCGAGCTCGTGGTATATTTGTTAAATACGACTTTAAAGGCCATCAAACAATACATTGCCATCTAGCCTCCAAACTTCAGCGAATTATTGCAATCATTAGCACGTATATTCCCACTATTCAGTTATCAAGGTACCGGTTTAATTCATAATCGAATATTGCTAAACGGCACGGACGGATATTGTGGCATGGTTTTTGACATCGTGAGTCACCCTTCAATGCCCTACCAACGCTATACATTGTATGCATGATTAGATGATTCTTTCACCGGCACTGACTGTTTACTCGCGGTGCAATTATAATTTTGAGGGATGTTAATTTGTAAAGAGTGTGGAAAATGCTAAAAAAACGTTAGCAGATCGTAAGAAATGTTCGTATTTGTCAACTTCAGATGTCTATGAAGTAGAATTGCATTGCAAGTTGCAAGGAAAGTTACACATGCAGTGTAACAGCGCCTTGATGCAACATCAAACAAAGATCTGCTTGAAAATTTTATTTTCAGTCTGTTTACTTTCAGTAGCAGTAGCCAGGAAACTATTCCTCATTGATTATGTTTGAGTGCATTTCTTAAGCATGCTGCGATTTCCAAGGTTGTGCGTACCAGCACGTAGCAGAACCAGCCACTCATGAATGTGTTATCCACCTCACTTTGGTACTCAATCACAGAATCACTTACCTTTACTTAGCTGAGTAGCCTGAGTACACATGCATTCATTTTTTTTTGAGTTACACATGCACGATTGAACATACGTGTGAGATTGCACACGTCAATACATGGAAAGGCTAGAAATGACTCCAAATTTATCTTAAAGGCTGGTTTTCCTTCAATAGCAATCCCTCGAAATTCACCTGTCGTTAATGTCGTAATTCACATGTCGTAATTTGTTGTATAATTTAATTGTTGTAATTCGGTTTTTACATATCAGAGTTCGCATAACAGCGAATTACAAGGAATTGTAACATGTGGATAACGACGAATTATTAGAAAACCACCAATTTTTTATTGTAGAGGTTAGAAGCTTCTCAAGGGGAGCTTTACAGTTAAGAATTGCCGTTTCCTATAAACTGGTACAGTTTGAGCAAATGGAAGCTATGCACTGCAGAGTTTTCGGTAGTCAAGCGAACTGTAATTGTTGTTCAGAAGCATTTTCTGTCCACAAAAAATAATAGTTTAATCATAGCTTATTCTCAACTATGAAACCAAAGTTTCTTTACAATGCATAGCGCAGTTTTTTATAATTGCTTTGGTTTTACACGTTTTGTCCACATGGGCATGACCAAGGGTCCTTTAGTGCAATGTCATGCATGCATGCCATAATTCGCCTTATTATGCAAAAACCCATAGCGCGGGGGGGGGGAAGTCGTTACAACAATTTTTTCCAGTACATGTACTGTGTTGTGCGCCGTGCGGCATGACTTCACAAAATTCAAACGCAGAAAAATACAGAGCACGTTTCAAATATTTTATTTTCTTGTTCTAAGGTCTGGCCTAAAACGCGCAAACCAAACCATTATGGTATTTCTCAAAGTATGCAAGATGTTTACACACTTGTTGCGTGCATGCTAACCTCCGTTTAACGTTAGGTTGCTTTTAAGTCAAATTACATTCGTACGAAGTTGGATTTAGTTACCGATTTAGATCAACCTACATTTGTCTCATCCTTGTTCTTCACTAAATGTATATTTAGAGCGGTTGAAACCTGCTAGCATAGTTATACTGAATTCAGCTTATGTTAAAGACTTTAAATTTAGTTCTTTCAATATCGATCAGGAACATAAGAGCATCTTGTCTTCACTGCAATTCATATTCACAAAAGCGTGTCAATTAATCATACATAATTTATGTAACTTCAACTGAAGTTGTATGATCTTTGTCAACTTTCTGATCCTTATGATCCACAACTACCATGTCCGGTTCCTCAGTCACCTCGATATCCACAGAAATATCCGCACTAGGTGATGTCGGTTCATCCAAGTTGGGCCAACTTGCAGGCTGCTCTAACTTGCTCATTCGTTCATTCAACGCTTTCAAAGCTTTCTGCCTGCAAACAGAACATTTTCTCAAGTGAAAACCTTATTCAAAATACCTAAGGCTTACGCTAAGGGTTCCGTGGGTGGAGTTGTTGGGATGTTAAAGCCTGATTCACACTAGCTCCTAAGAATCGGGGACCCATTGTATTATTTTCCGATAGACAAAGGTTCTTGCACATCAGTGACCTCAGACAAAGGGAATCCCAGATTCGTACGACAAATGTGAACCAGACTTAAGATAGATCCTTTAGCACCATAGCGATCCTGCAAGGCCGGTTCAGATGCAGGTTGTTAGTTAACCTGCACCGTAAAACGAGAACGAACGAATATGCAAGTATGCTAATGTTTTCATTGAAATTACGAAAAGCTGATTGGTTTGCATATTTAAACATGTACGAATGGACGAAAGCGACGAACGAATGAACGACAAAAAGTCGCTTGCTTGTACTAAACATGTTTTCAACCGTATTGTAATGCTTGTATATTTTTTTCTGTCGTTGTGCTGATAGAAAAACTACATTTCGGCTAATTCAATCAAGGAAGATAGTCTTAACTTAAGGCCGTAAAGAAGATACACACATACATGTATTACCATTAGATATATATTTGGGGATATGCAATACACATGCATGCGCACGTAAAAATCTCACATCTTGTAACTGCATGAAAACGCCTAAAGAATTGTAATTTCATCACATTTTTTATTTGAACCTAATAGGTGATCATAACAGAAATGAATTTCATGTGATAGAAACTATTTAGCGTTAAGTTTAACTCGACTTTGTGATATTATTGTAATTTCCATAACATGCCAGTTAAAACGTATATTCAAACCCCAGGATCATAATAAGTTCCATAGCCACAGTAAACTTAAATGCAAATCAGCAGTAACTGCTATATTACGATAGTTAAATTATTTGCTGCATTGTGCAAGACAATCTTTTTGAAATCGCTCGCGGCCGGATTTCTTTAACTTTTTTAAAAATGAATGCAAGACAAGTAAGACGCATAGGTGAGGTTGAAAGACGATTAATTCATGAGCGGTATATGGAGAATGGTCCCATTTGGGACGTCATTGCAAACGATATTGCAAGGCATGATAGATTTGCCGAACTTCCTGATAACGTTCAGAACCTGTATGCAAATGTTGGAAATCGGCGTGCAGTGAGACGAAGGCTTCTTGATTTCATTGTAAGAGAGCAAAGAACTATTTAGTAAAGGCATTTGATTTCTATAGGTACATTCTATAGGCTACTACAAATAACGACGAATTTGATCATTTTTTGAACGATGCGTCTAAATTATTCTACGCTATTGCCCGTCATAGTTCAGAACAAGTGTTCACACCTTTCCAATTCACTATAGAAATCCCTTCTCGGGAAGTTTGACCCGAAAAAATCTGGAGAAAGAATCTGTTCAATACGAGCTGTTGGTAAAATAGCTTGAGTGCACGTTGCTATTATAGCAGACAAATCATATAGTTGCATTATACAGGCGACTAACGTAGTCAAATAATTGTCGTCAGTCGCTTCGATCTCGCTTGTCTGCTCTTCCTTCCATTGAATATATTGCCTGAACGGCGTTGTGCAAATTTAATAGTACTATGTTTAAAACCTCTACGTCGTCTGCCATGCTTTTTCAAACAGCTCATTCGTAGTTCGCACAATTGCAAATCCACCTGGAATTTGATATAAATACACGTATATGCAAATGTCTTAAAACACATGAAGAAATGCTTAAGAATTGTTGTAATAATTGCATTGAGGCTACTTAACACGACCTGTAACTATAAAATTCAATTGAGTTTACGAATCGACGACTTCGGTAAAATACTCAGGGTTCTATATATAATATTATTCAACTTAGTTATTCCTCAGTTTGGGATGTTACCATTACAGTTCATCAATCATCGTCATCTTGTTGCATGCCCCCTGTTGTAACCGTATAATATAGACGATATCACAACACAAAATTACCTGACCAAAATATGCATGCTATGGCTTAAAGTTTACAAACAAATATGATAATAAACTTGTTTTAGCCAATAGAAACCATCTATTTGAACGATTGTGAACCGTACTCTCGTTCAGTTAATGAGGCTACTCGTTCGTTCTCGTTCTACGGTGCAGGTTAACTATTAGGGACCTTAAGCATGTAGGACGGCAACACGACGAGGACGCGGCTGAAATTCTCCTTTAAATAAATGCTATGGCTAAGATGTTATTTTATATTATTAATTGTACCAATTGAGTGAGATATAAGGCGTTAAAAACATTGTGTTTATGTTTTAAGACAATTCTATAGAGCCTAATTCGAGGGAGGGCTCGCTGGGCTTGAAATGCAACCGTTCTAGGCAAGAGGTAAAAAACGACGTTTTCCCGTTGTAAACAGAACGAAGACGACGTCTAAAACCCATCATGGGTCTTTAAATATTCATTTCTTTTCAATGACCCATTGTATTGATAGCCGTCGTCGTCGCGTTCGCGTCCTACATGCTTAAGGTCCCTATTATGTCTGAAAGGCACGCGTGCAACGTCACCACGAAAGCATTAGTGCCAATCGAGATTGACATTTAACATATAATGATTTCTTATAATTGCATAATATATTATAATGCGAAATTAGTCCAAACCCACACATCAACCATTCTACTATTATCATAATTTGGCGGGGATGTTTGTATAAAATTCGACGTCGCTCATATTATTATGCAATATATTATTTATACAAGACACGAATGGAACTAAAGCCGGTTTTCCACTAGCGATATTTTTCGCGCGAAGCGACAATTTACTTTTGTTTCAGAGCTATCAACTGCAACCATCTGGAACAAATTGCTCAAATACAAAGGAATAAAGTCGCTTCGCGCGAAAAATATCGCTAGTGGAAAACCGGCTTAAGGGGCTTTACATGAGCCCGGTTACCCGAGATTACACGAAGGTATTGAAATAAGTCTTTATGACACCAAACAAGCACATGCTATTGTTGTGGTGATTATACGACTGCCAGGATCATGTTATCTGCTCATTTCAATACATCAAAATCATAAAAAGTCAACCCGACTTCAAAATTTTGAAAATTTACAGTATAGTTTCAACTGTGTCTTGTATGAATCATAATTCATAAATAGTCACGATCCTTTTATAAATTTCCTTCAAACCAATATGACCACAAAATTGCCCCATAATTTGCGGATCAGAGAATCCATAATACTAAAAAAATTATACCTTCTTCTTTCAGCGTCAGCAGGGTCCATTCCTGGTAAACTGATGGTTATCGCCGATGGTGCACCAACATCGTAAGTTCTGATTGGTTTTGAGCAGATATTAAACTTGATTAACCAGTTGAAGATCGTATTTGAGACTGTTGATACTGGTGCCCTAGATGTATAGCAATGGAAAATACGTCGGTGTATGCGCCCAAACAAAGGCAACATTATTTGTTTTATCTAATCATTGTGGTATGTTTATAATAGGAATGAAAAAACTGCTTATTCCGAGTGAAAAGTGCAATTTCATTTGGACGTGAAATTGACAAAAGAGACCACAATGCAAATGCAAATTGCACTCCTCTCGGCCAATCAGCATCAGGAATTTTTTCCATCTAACAATCATCAGTACCAAAAAATTGCAAATACTGCATTATTATTGGCTACCCTATCTGTCGCGAGTATTTCGTGCAGAAGTAGTCAAAACTTTTTCGAAATAATTCGTTGTAAAACGAAATCCGACATATAAAAATCGAATTACAGCAAATTACGACATTACGACGAATTATGTCATGTGAAAACCAGCCTTAAGTAATGACGTCAAACGTAACCACAATGACCAGCAAGGAAAAACAACAACAACACAATGACCAGCATTCCCTGCGAGAATTACAATGCCAAAGTCTCGCAAGGAATGCTAATCTTCGTGATCACGTAGAAGTGTTTGCGTCATTATGCATAAGGTTATGTAAGGTCTATTACAGGAAAAAGCTTGCACTGCGTGAGTATTTTAAAGACCGGAAATAGCGCTAGACATTCGGACACTACCGCGCAATTTTAAAGCAATCGCACTCCTTTTTGACCAATCAGCATAGATAATTTTTTTGCATCTCAACAAATACTGAAATCAATTTCACGTAGATTTTAGTCATCTCTAGCCTGTGCCCCAGTCTCCATACCATGGAAAATACTTTTCCGTGGTATGCACTGGGGGACAGGCTAAGTTAACGCGAAGCTACTTTGACTACTCCATTCTTCATACATTAGGTACTTGACAGTATCGAAATCTAAATCGTGTTCATCAAATTTTTAAAGAATGCCAGCAGACATACTGTAATGGATCTGGGAAAAACGTTGCAAATGCAAAACCATCTCTCAAGTCACCCTTAGCTCCTTTTCCTTTTTGTTGATAGAAACGCAGATAGACCCAGCCAATTATGACACCAGTGATGGTTAGAATAACATTGATCAGAGGTAGAAGCTGAACAAAACACAATGGAATGCTGCATAGCACCATGAGTGATGGTAGGTACTAAAAATCATATTGGTTTTATCAATTTATCATTCAAAAGGTGAAGGCCAATGATCTCTACTTCATTGCAGTAGAATATTTATGTTAAAATTTCATTACAAGTAGTACTGAAGACATAATTAGTACTGCAGTCTTGTGCCTAACTGCAAAATATATACACCATTTCAAGATTTATGTAATTGACTACAGGAATGCATATTGGATGGAAGGGAGCCAGGGGCATAACTAGAAAATAATTGGAGGGGGGGTGTGTTTATTCATATATTCAGTACTGCCCAACGAATTTCTTTTGTACAATAGAAATCTGTCAGGCAGAACTGATTATATAAATTAACACCCCCCCTCCAATTATTGAACTCTATATATAGTTACTGCATCTGACCAGATTACAATATTGTTATGTTTAACTCTCAATGTTTCTTTAAACCACTCAAGCATCTCTGGTTGACCACAACCTGATCTTAAGTACAATTGCATTTCCCAGAATATTCTTCACCAAGCCTTACCTTCACTTTGACACTTAACATCAAAAGTTTCAACTCTGTTTCAGGGACAGATTGTTTTAATGCAACTGTAACACCAGCCAGTATACCATTCATACCACTGAATGTTAAAAACCTTGGGTAGAAATATTTGGGTACAGATATTATGTAATCATATCTATTGAATAAAGGTTTTTATCACCAAATAATAGATCCAAATTATAAAATATTAAATTTAAATTATTTAATCTGCAACCTATAGTTATAATAAATTAAAAAGGTTATTAGATTGCTTACCACACAAAAACATTATCAGTTACAAGATAGTAAAGTAAACATAACCCTGATGCAATCAGAGATGTACCAACATTCAGTATCGTTATATATTTCTAAATAAATTAAGTAATGCACAAATTTAATCGACTGACATGGATTAACAACAGCATCAGGACTACCAGTGAATGACAATACCCTACTTATCAACAAATAAAATTGGTGGTTGGTTATAGTTAAAAGTACAAATTAAAGTGGGCTGCATCTCAGCATATTGCCAATGTATTGGTTAAGTTAGTGATTAGGTTACCAAAAACTCAAGGGCTCCCCATAGTGGTTCAAGAATCCTTCCACACATAACAAGAACTATAATATCTGCAACAACCTGGCAAAGAAAAATATTTCAAAGTGAAAAATTCCCAAATAGGAAAGGATCTTAATTGCCTGACACAATTACCATTCATGATTAATGCCATTGTCAGATCAGCATTTTGGTTCAGTTTTTTTGAAATGGTTTATGTAAAGATGGCATGATGTGCATTAAAATAACAAAGTTTGAAACATATGCCAGGGTTGCCAGATTACTGAATATTAGCCAAATATTATTACCACAATCATTGTTTTCTTTGTTTCAAACAAAGAAATCAAAGGGCCGACCACAACAATGTTTGGCTTCTTTTTTCAGTAATTCGGCAACCCTGACATATGCATTAGGTACCTAATATATTGGCGATGCATTAATTATACAGGCCTTGTATATATTTGTCAACACCATCAAAAACAAGCTTGTTAAACACTGGTTTATCTAATACTGGTTGCCTTACAGTATCACCCATTCACATAACGCATTGCAATACTATATCCTACTTACATTCCACACTCTGTATTCAATGAATCCACCAGTTACAAGAGTCCAAATTTTAAAATGTGGGGGGATCAGACTATTAAAAGTCAAAGATCAAGATCAAACAAGAATTGCAGTCACTGCTGTATTATGATATAATAATACATTCTTAAAAAGCAGTTTGGAAACCATATAGTACTAAGACTTATAAGTTTTAAAACGTTTTATACGAGAAATGAATATTGATATTTCTCAGCTCAATATACAGCAATTGGCTTTAAAGACTTTCACTATAATTTGCTTGCTGGCTGCAGCAGCATATTTACGTTTGCAGCATATAACATAACTATCGAAAAGGCATTCGTGGCTGTTAAGTGCAAAAATATGTACAAAATCGTACATTAATGTACTTACGATCCAGGGGTGACAGCTAAAGCATCGTAAACATGGGGTATATAGCCAAGAACGTAAAATAATGACACTAGTCCACAAGATATTTTTACTACTATAGAAGCATCTCCGAGTGCTTTGTTTATCTGGTCCTACAAATATAGCATATATAGTTTAAATATTCGTTCACATTTTTTGCAAAATACGCGGAAAAAGAGTTTGTTTTTACCTTTAATTGGTTTAAATCATTCACAGAAGTCGCCATGTTTAAATTGTGTTGTTGTTGTTAGACATGCGCAATAAGCATAATCGACGTGTCAAGATGTATGATCATGTCATAATATGTTTGATCATCATTATTTCATAATTACAAATTATTTTCAATGTCTCTAATGCAACTGAATGTGATCAGTTAATATCCTCGTGTCATAAGAGAATCCGTGACTGTGTACTGTATATGAGGAACTGTATATGAGGAGGGTTGGGAATTGCAGTTGTGATATAAATGCTTGTAGTGAGGGCACTGCTGTAATCACCTGTTCCACAATAAAAAAATGCGTATTAAAACCATAATTGAAATAATACAAAAACACTTTTTTGCAAAACATTCAATCAACATCTGCCCTGAGCTGTCTGATTTTTGTCTGAACACAGGCTGAGGATATATTTTAACTGCTTAAATGACAAACATATTCTTTCTCTAGCTCTTTTTAAAAACTCAATGTGTTAAGTATCAAAATGTTAGATGAATACATGTATGTTATTATTTTCCATTTGTATCATTCAACTCATTGTTCTGCCCTTCATTATTGTTTTCAACACTATTATTATCACTGCTACCATCTTTTGTAGTGTCAGTTTTTTGTTTCTTAGATTCAGGCCCTGTTGAGTCCTCATTTGAAGATTCTGTCTTGCGTTTTTTGGCTGCAGCTTCTTTCTTTTCCTTCTGATCTCTTCTAAACGCTGGAGTAATGCTGTACATTAGCACTGTACATATTTCTATTTTTAGACCATCAATCATTTATTATTTTACCTTCCAAACTTTCTTTTAAGGGTTCAACAAACTGTGGAAACTCCATCTCCTCCAATGCATCCATGACATCATTACCTGTCAAAGTTTTTCTCTTGTTTTCCAATGCATGATTATTTGCACTAAAAAAATCATGTTTGAATTGGAAGTGGTTACATTTTCAAGCAATCCTCCTTATTAAAATATATACGCACCATGATGTACAGTATAATACGAATACACTTGCTGCCTTGCTTATTGCTGATCTTGCTTCTTTTGATATATTCACTCCATCACCAAGCTTGAAAATGGTATGATAAGAACTATATAGTCAGCACTCAGCAGGGTAACTGCTATTGGAGCTACAAGTTCCAAACACACTAGTTTTTCAACTGTCTAATCCAATTCAATTTTGTACACCCTTCTGAAAAATACATCACCTTGGCTACAGAGCCTTATTATTAATTTTGTAATTAATAATTTTTTAAGTTTTAATTTTTCACTTTTTCTCAGTTGCATTAAAACATGGCATACTTTCAGGAGGGGTGTATGAACAGGGATAACATTGTTTTATATGGGGTAACGTATAAGCTTGATGGTTCTGTATAATTTTCATCCAACGGCAACGTGAGCCTAGTGAGATTTTGATTGTACATACTGCCTCTTTCACAAGCCGAGATATAACAGCATTTGGTAGATTTAGATCCTCTGGTTTTTCCGCCATTGTTTTATATTTCAACTATTGAACAATTTCTTCCTTCTCTACAAAAATAAGACACCGTACTTTACTCTTCGTGTCATTCACTCAATAGACTAGTATCATCCAACCATTTTGATGTTTGTCAAAAGTTTCCCGCGTTTACACGCGTGTGTTGTCCAAATTGCCTTTTCTCGAAGACGAACGCGAAACGAAGGCATTTCTCTTCGAAGTGGAAACATTTCTCTAACTTTGTGCATTGTTAATGAGATAAAAATTTTCACGCGAGCGTCGTCAAAATTTCTTAGTCAAATTCCTCAACAACTCACTCGTCGAAAGCATCTAACAGACGGTGCTTATATCTTTCTATTTGTATAGTACTTTTTAGTCATTTTACATTACTAATATTGATATTTTTGTGTCTTAATTTTGAGTTACGCTTGACAGTATTCAATGAAGATTTGATGCTAATAATCTATTCATGGCTGTAAATGCTGTTTGAGTGCTAAAGACACGGATTTTGACGACTTTCTGTTTTTTCTCATGTAGTGTGTAAGGATGAGTAGCTCCGAAGAAGTTTCGTGGATTTCTTGGTTCTGTGGACTGCGTGGCAACGAGTTTTTTTGCGAGGTAAACACAACAGCAGGTCACTGAAACTTCTGCAACTTCGCATATTCGAAATATCTGAAGTTGGAAATTGTCACTATAGAATGTTTGCAAACATAGTACGAGTGTGAAAAAATTCTAATAAAAGCAGACTATTTTGAACACGATGAATGGTTCCAAATAGTTTGTCCTAAAAGATCCCTCTCCCAAACATTTACATCAAAAGAATTGCCCCAATAGGTAGGTGGGGACGATAGTACAGTTGATATACCCATTTAGTAAGGCTAGAAGTGTTAACCTATTAAGAACACCATTTTGGAATAGTTCAACAGATAAATATAAGGTATAGCTTGTACAACATTGCATTCAGCATTTTATTGTTGTAATACATGAATGAATACAATTAATTCAAGCAAGTATTTCCTTAGCAAGCTAAAACTAAGTTCATATTGTGAACTGGCTCTAGAATTGATATTGCTATTATCTGCTACAAAAATAGTCATAATATTGAAGTAAATGTTTGAGAACCATAATATTTATATGGCTATAGCATGGTTTTAGCACTTTTACATTAACAGAGAAGCGAATAAGTAAAATAAATAACAATTATTGAATGAGGCTGAACTGAACATGAAACAAAGAATTATTGAGCCAAAGTTTGTCATTATTACTTTAACCTGAAGGCTGAGGTTTTTGACAACAAACCAAGGCTTGGTAATTCTTCATATCATGTGAAAATCAAATTCAATAATTGTTTTATCATATTTAAAAATATTGAACATAACATGTCTCTTTCATCTTCAAGATGCCATTATTGTGACTATAAAACTTTTTTTTTAATAACAAGGATGTACACTTGAGTCTGCACAACACTTGACATTTTCCTTTTTACAGATCTCAATCTGATGTATTCTGCAATACATTGACTTTTGACCATACAATAATGTCTTTTTATTTATAGGTTGATGAAGATTATATTCAAGACAAGTTTAACCTAACAGGGTTGAATGAACAAGTTCCTCATTATAGACAGGCATTGGACATGATTCTTGACATGGAACCAGGTATTCAACTTTGTACTTGATATATGTACCTTAAAAATCAAACCAAAAATTAATGCTGCAAAATACAAATAAATAAATATCTCCCCCCCTCTTAATTACTGGGTTAACTACACAACTAAAATAACCCAACTGTCAAGCTCTATATATCGAAAATAAATATCAATATTTTTCGCTTTTTAAATAAATGCGTAAAAATGCAATTTTACAAAACAGTACCCTGAGTATCAAAATTAACTGCTGCACTTGTATGAAAAATGTTATTTTGTTATTACTAAATTTGGCATTAATTTACACTTATTTACAATTCTTACTATGTTATATGATTAAGATATCTACTTAATCTACAAGTTCACCGCAATGATGACATATGGGATTATCGACTTTTGCCTTTTCAAAGTGCTCCCAAACAAAGCTCGGAATCTTTTCACTTCAGAAGTGTTGCAAATTGTAGCAAACATGTGAATTTATATTTTGCGGCTGCTGATGACTCATACATTAAACACATTGGGAATGCATTGAATTGAGACTTAACAAGAATTGCAGCGCATTTAAACAACCATAAAAACCTATTAATAACTAGCGGTGATTCATAATACTAAAGATATTGAATTCATTTTGATGTTTTCGGTATATCGAAATATCAATATACCGAAAAAAACGAATATCAATAAACCCATATTTTAAAAAACCCCGGATGTTTATCAATATTTCGATATACAGCAACAGCTTACCTACTATCTATACACATTTAGTTTGAGTGTTGATGTGTACCAAGGGCATACAAAGAATGGATAGTGCTATTCATCCAATAAAATGCTATCCACTCAGTATTTGGCATAGTAATTACAATGCTTTGATCAGTAGATAAAAAACTAAGGCCTAAAAACCTATAGGGGTTTTCCCCCCTGGATATTCTATGTTATACACAAACAGGATAGATCATTAAAATTCTAAAGCAGATTAATTAAATCAGAGCAATGAACTCAAAATAATTTTTTTGTAAGATGATGAATTGGAGGATAACCCAAACCAGAGTGATTTAATTGAGCAAGCTGCAGAAATGTTGTATGGATTAATTCATGCCCGTTATGTTTTAACAAACAGAGGATTAGCACAGATGGTATGTACATGTTGTGAAAAAATTTGGCTATTTGTGATTTTAGTGAGAGACAAGTGTACTACAGTCTTCACCCTTGAACAATTGCAATCCAAACCTGTGTAAAAGATGATGGATATTAACCAGAGGTCAAAGCAATTGAGATTTGTTTCATAAGAATTAAGAAACCAATTTAACATATTTGAGGAGGGAGATTTTTTCATTACAATATCCTTTTAAAGATGATATCTAGTTGTTATGTAAACAAATGCTTTGTTTACGTTCTGAACTGTTATATTTTTGAAATATGACAGACCGTCTGGGTATCTCACACTTTATTTGGTGGCATGGTTTTAAATTGATATAAGCTACATTCTTCGTTCAGAAAAATCGGAAACATTTAGGCAGTTTTTAAATTTGTAGACCCGCATTGTTATGAGCAGAACTGATGCGCCCACATTTTCTTTAATATCAGATTTCCTTGTCATCAGCTGCTTCCAGTTATATATGCATATACCATCATATTTTTCCTGACTGTTGATCCTTGTGAATTTTTATATTTTTAGCTTGAGAAATATCAGAATGGTGACTTTGGATATTGCTACAGAGTGTACTGTGAAAACCAACCAGTCTTGCCAATTGGTAAGTATATTACATCTGTTAGCTAAGAGGGTTAAAGACTTCACTTGAAAAAAAATTGTGTGATTGCTGAATCAATCTATTACATAAACATTTAGTATAACTGTCTCGCAAGAGGCCAACAGCTTCCCCTTCCCTCCAAAAGGTTACAATGGTGGAAGAGTTGGGCAAATTTTCAACCCTGACAATTTGGGAAAATACACAAAGAAAAAAAATGTTATTGGTAAAAATATTGGGATTTGGACCATTAGTTTTAAGAAAGGTATTCGCGGGCTGGTTACCTTCAGAAGGATGGTCTCGTGAACGGAGTATATTGCTTTTATGATAGTTTGTGTAGCAAGCGGGACAGGCTCCTCAGAGGAATTTAGAGAAAATCTTCTTCTACCTCTTTGGCGTAAAAATTTGGTTGAAAAAACGAAAGGAAGATGGAGAAAAACTATTAAAATATTTGATCTGGTCATCGTGTCGTGTGTCCTTTTACTGAAGTCATTCTTTTTGGGAATCTTCGGAAAAGCGCGCGACTCTTTACGTTTACACCAGTTAAACTGTTTATAAAAGCACGTTTATTCAAAAAAATCTATTTTAATAGATTTAAACAACTATTAAGAACTTTAGAAAAACTATGTTACACCAGTGTTAATTTATAATAATAATAATAATATTATAAATTCAAAACATCTGCTTCTGTCATCAAATTCATCTGTCTTCGTTTAACTAAATTTTGAAAAGCTTCTTTAATAAAATACTCAAGAAGCAGTTACGTTTAGTTCAAATTCAACTCTAACCGTAACCCTAATTACTTGCAGATTTGCCAGATCACAAGTACTTATTGTTTTGTTGTTTAAAGGTTTATCAGATGTACCTGGTGAAGCAATGGTCAAACTTTACTGCCCTAAATGTATGGATGTATACACCCCTAAGTCATCAAGACACCACCATACTGATGGTGCATACTTTGGAACTGGCTTTCCACATATGTTGTTTATGGTACATCCAGAATATCGGCCAAAACGAAGTCCAAACCAGTTCGTGCCCAGGTTTGTTGATATTCGCGGTATTCGTTTATGTGGTTAACGCACCCGTATATGTTTGTTGATTAAGGGCTATATACTTAGGTTTGTTTGTGTTGGCTTTTGAATATGATAAAATCTGGCTACTTATAAGCAGCATGTGTAAATAGTAAATATATTTGAGTGGAAAAATTGTTTATGTTGTTAACACACCCGTATATATATGTTTATTGATTAGGGACTATAGTCAAGTTTGTTTGCGTCGGCTTATGAATATGTTCAGATCTGGCTACTTATAAGGAGCATGTGTAAATATTTTTGAGTGGACAAATTGTTTATGTGGACACACCCGTATATATATGTTTGTTGATTAGGGGCTATATAGTTAAGTTTGTTTGCGTTGGCTTATGGATATGTTCTGATCTGGCTACTTACTTATAAGGAGCATGTGTAGATATTTTTGAGTGGACAAATTTATGAACCGGTTATATTATAATTGATAACATAGCTACTCACCGTATATGAGCTGTTACGCAATCTGATTGGCTTAGCTACAGTACTCACTGTATATCAGCTTCTAGGGTGAGTAGTGAAAACAAGCAGTAATACACTTAAGGATTGGAATTTAAGAAAAGTTTTCACAATTTCATTATTATAAAATCCTAGCTACATTATAAAAAACCATTTATACCATTCACTCTCGTCATATATATGCCTTCGTTGGCTTTCAGATCCGATGGGACTCGATCTCATGTTATAAATAATTGTCAAATATAGACTATAGAGGCATTTTAAATTAGCATATGCAAATGTCGAATAGTAAGATCGGTAATGCTTTGACAAACTCTTGTCTAACAAAATTTCGTTCATTACAGAGTTTTATTAAGATGCCCAGTTTTTCGTTTAAGGGTGTGGCCATTTTGTGCTACTTTACCTGTACCCGTAACACGAAATTAGGTGTCATATCCCGTCTATCGGTCTTTCAAAGGGCAAATTCGTTAGTCAGGTGGTTTTTTGTTTCAGAAAAACAGCAAACTATATATTTTTATTTGTTTTGAAGATTATTTGGTTTCAAGATCCATCCAATGGCATATCAAATTCAGCTACAAGCCGCTGCCCAGAGAGGACGTTCGGCGTCAAGTCGACCTCGTACTGGCAAAGGTCAACATTACAAGAACTAACAACTTCTTGCTGTTACAGACATAACTTTGTGGGATTTTCAATAAAAACTACCTGTATATATCTTCGAGAGAAGAAGACCATTGTGTGGAAAAATTTAATCCGCAATCGAGGAAGATGAAAGAAGATGCAATGAATGAAGATGAAATATTTTCGTTATCCCTAATTTCACTTGTAGTTTAAACATATTAGTTTTAATGTCGTAATTGTCGTGAACAAGTCATTTTCACCGATACGGAATAGTCCGGATGTAAATTTGTCATTATTTAAATGATAGGTCTTGTCTGACCAGCAACATTCAATTACACCAACCACCTTTACATTAGTGAGCTTAAGCAAGTGACGTTTTTGACAACACGTACGTTAACCGGAAGTAAAGTTTTTGTTTTTCACCAATCACAATCCTTGACCCAGGCTTTTCACGTTACTCATGCCGTTTGTGTTGTCAAAAACGTCACTTGCTTAAGCTCACTATTATCACGACAATTACGACGACGAGGATTTCTGTGGTGTCAGACCTGTTAGAAATATACTCCTAACACTGACGGAATGGTACTAAATATATTAATGACAACAATGTGCGCTTTTTTTAGGGGTATTGTGAGAAAGTATTGTGAAGCCACTTCCTGGCTGTAATATTCCCCTATTCTGTAATTGAATTCTCTAGCACTGCAATCATCTAGCGCTGATAACTCTATCCACACTACACTCAGCGCTTATTCCATGAATCCAGTTCTCAGTTAAATGTATTTTAAAAATGAATTAAATTGTTTCTTGTGTTTTTAAATAATACTCTCTAAAAATGAGAATCGCAGTACAATTTTACAAAAAATTAAATGAGAAAAAAGCCAAAGGGCTAGGATGGTTAGAAATTTGAGCCATGATGTTGCAATAAGTCACGTGACGTCGAATGACGTGTTTGTAAAATGGCGCTGCTGGGGGTGAATGGAAGGTTTCATATATAGGCAAGCCCTGCTAGAAGGACGACCGCCATGTCAAGAAGAAAAACGTGTGTGCTATGAAGGAATCCGTCGCCCTGGATGGAAAGCACAAGCCATCTGGTATCTCAAGGGTACGGAAGATGTTTTTTGAGAAATTTTCTTTTGATTTATGGCAATTTTGGTCGTCAAACTTGCAGGGTTGTGCTATATTTTTGTCCTCGAAATACTCCTATTTACCGCGGTATTTTTCGTGTGGACGGACGCGTCTTATAAACGTCCCGATTATGTCCGACATATCTTGCTCCTACCCGGTGTATTACGTTGAAAAATATCATTAAAATATCAATTTTATCGTTGTGCATATTTGTGTGTGAAATTCAAACGTTTATTCGCTTTAAGAAACGAGCTGTGAGTAAACTTTCGTTTGTGCTCTCCTGTAGGCAAAACGTCTGTATTACTTCTGACAATCCCGTTTCTTCAAGTAATGAATTTACGTCGCCAGTGAACTCTCCGGAGTCGTGTGATGGGCTGGGAAAGCGCGTGAGAAAGCTGTCAAATAAATATGATGGATTCGAACAACCTATCTCGGTATATGCTACGTTTTTGTATAATTTTTTCCCTGCTTTTATACACAAGTGTGAGCACGCCATTTTAATATGTTGGCGGTCGTTTTGTGTCATGTGAGAGGTTGTGAGCGGATAGCTATAGAAGTATATTTGGTTGTTTCTAGAGAAATCAACAACAGACAGACGAGAAACAAGCAGAAACTGCTCCCAAACAATTCACAACAAACCAACTGCAATACTTGCAACGAATTTTAGTAAAATCGTTGTGGCGCCATCGTATGGCATGGCCATTTTTGGACGCAGTCGATGCAGTCAAACTAAACTTGCCGGTAATTTATTTATATTTTTCGCTAAAAACTCGATCAAACTTGTTCCACTTCCTCAATATAAGTTTTTTTGTTAGGATTATTATGATATTATCAAGCATCCTATGGACATGGGGAAAATTAAGCGGAATCTGGAGAAAAATGTGTATTCTTGTGCCAAAGAGTGCGTTGAAGATTTTGATACAATGTTCAATAACTGCTATACATATAATAAGCCTGGAGAGGTATGTATGCATGCAGCTTTTTATTAAGCCCTACTTGTTTAATAATCTAAGCCTGTCCTTACTGCAACTAAGGTATGCATCATAGTCTAACCAGTCCTAGGCATAGTCACAAAATGGGAATGTGTACCAAAAGGCCAAAATTTCAATGTTAATTGCATGATATTTGTGGTTATTCATCATCAAGATGTGTGAATAGGCATCTGCAAAAAAAATTTTCTGACAAAAATATCTAAGGCGCTGGCTTGTTATGTTCTAGTATATATTTCTATTTTATTGGCATTTTATCATGATGCTCACTTGTTAAAATCAAAAATCTAGAATACATTCCCATTTTGTGGCATGGTAATGATTAGTATCAAGGTAAGATGGTTCGTACGAAATTAGAATGACCTAGGTGAAACCTATTTATTTTCAATTTGGGAGCTGTCTTAGTACAGCCTGCATATTGAGGAAAATCACACATGCAACATTATATCCAGGGTCTTTATTATAACACAGGGAGATTACCTTGGGTACCAGGTTGGTCAGTGTGTATCTTGACATTTTCAATCATACACACATGTGATAAAGAGTTCTTGATTGTTTTCACATAAATATTATAGTTGCAATCTTGTCATACCAGGTGAACCTTGGTTTACCAAGTAAGATGAAATTCCCATTTTCTGTGGGTACAAAATTGGCTACATCCTAAGTAACACTAGTGAATAGTTGGGCTCCAAATTAGGAATGGTTGCTTATTCAACTAGACTATAGCTTTCTCATATGTTTTTGACACTTTAAGGCCGATCTACACGATGCGATTAGTCGTATACGATTCTTATCCTGACGTATGAAAAAGATTGGTAACGTCACTCTGTCTGTTCATCAGTTTATAACGCAATTTAAAATGGGAAACCTTTACACGCATTTATTCGAATACATACGCCAGCATACGAATCGTATGCGACTAATCGCATCGTGTAGATCGGCCTTTAGGAATTATGTTCATTCTTCCCTATTGTTGTAGTAACAGCTCTGACAGCTATTCCAATTTGTAGGAAATATCATATTGACTTGTAGCAGTGTCTTGTAGAATTGTATCTTATGAAATAAAAAAGTATTCATAATGACATTGAGTTCTACAATTTTTGTAAATACAGGATGTTGTACTGATGTGTGAAGCATTGGAAAAAGCTTTCAGAGAGAAATTAAATGCAATGCCAGCTGAGGTAAAAATATGTTTTGCAAAATTTGTTTAGAAATTCCATAGTTCTTAACTTATTTGCTTATCACAACATTTCTAGGAGATAAAGATAGACCTTAGTGCAAAGAAAAGGCCAGGTGTTCCGAAAATACCTGCTATACCAATTGAAGCAAAAAAATCCAAGAGAATTCCTAAACTTATGGAGAAAACAACTGGTCAGTATTACCTGAAAAGTTCAAGAGTTCGTGGTCGCCTAGTTTTGGTATCTTGCACATATTACCAAGGGCAATTTCACTTGCCTGTTGAAGAATATTGCCAGCATGCCATGAATGTTAAACCATATGCCTGCATTTTACCTAGTCTAACAGCATTTGTCAGTGGAAGCAATGATTAAACCTGATATTGGAAATTATCTTGCTGTAGCACAGACTAAATCTCTATCATATATCTTTCTGTAGTAGCAGTTGCAGATAGCACACCCTCCATTATTTCCACACCCCAGTTAACCAAGGATGTTATACCATCTGTCAAAGTTGAGACGTCTGAAGTTATTAATCAACCCCCGGCTGTTGCTTCACCGTCTCGTATTTCCTCTGCTGTTACATCCACTTCCACTACGCCTCATATGATGCCTCAGGCTTCTACCACATTGACTTCTTCTAAAGCAAAGAAACGTAAGGCAGATACAACCACACCTGGAAACCTACCTTCGGAACAACCACCTGTGAGTAAAGCAGCCAAAATCCCTGCAAGACGTGGATCTACAAGACCCATTAAGAAACCAACCCGAGATTTGCCTGAGTTACCTAACCAGGTAACAGTAAATCATTAACAGTAAAAATATTCTGAATAAAGTCTTTATAATCTGACATTACACAAGTTTTCATTATCTCCAAGTGAAAATGAATTGTATTGTACAATATTTTAATGTGTTTGTGGTATATTTTATTTTTTTTCAGCATCGTTCTAAAAAGAAGCCTTTAACAGAACAAATGAAGTATTGCAGTGCTATTCTAAGAGAGCTATATTCTAAAAAGCACTATGTAAGTTGTAAAAATGTATTTTTTTGTTTATGTCCAAAATTTGGTTTAATGTCTGCAGGATTTAAGCCAATGTTCTTTTTTATTCAGGAATATGCATGGCCTTTTTACTACCCTGTTGATGCTGATGGTCTAGGACTTCACGATTATTTTAACATCATTAAGACTCCAATGGATCTGACGACGGTTAAAGTAAGTTATGTTCCAGTGATGTGAGTTTCACCCATAGTAATTTGTGCATGTCAATGTGCTATACAAAACAAGATGGTCATATGTGACAACTGTCCTAACCTCACTGATTTTAGAATAAACTGGAGAATCGGGACTATGAAACACCATCGCAGTTTGCAGCCGATGTTCGCATGATCTTTACAAATTGTTATAAATACAATCCTTCAGATCATGATGTTGTTAAAATGGGACGAAAATTGCAGGTAAGGTTTTGATTTTCATTGGCTGAACTTTACAATACATTTCTGTTACAACCAATAGCATAGCTTCGTTCTTTAGAAAGCATAGAAAAGTATTATCCAATTGGACAAAAGCTTCCGAGAGCTTCGACATGTACCATATTTTTGCATAAGAAGGGATATCTTGTGACTCCAAAGAAGAGTGGCAACAAAAATTATCCTCATTATTGAGTACTGAGGGCTTTAAAACAGTTATACTGTAAAGTCTGATTTTGATTTTTGGATGTTTTAGGATGTATTTGAGATGAGGTATGCAAAAATGCCGGATGAGCCGCCTCCCCCTGAACAGCCATCTTCGGCATCTCAAGATACGGAAACTGGGGCTGGTTCCTCAGACGAAGAACAAGGGGCATCTGATCATAGTTACGAGTCTGAGGATGAAGATCCACAGTCAGAGAGTGAAGATGCAAGACAAAAAATTAACGACCTACAAAAACAGGTTGGTTTGTAAAATGTTTTCAAGCAGTAGCAATGGTGAATATTGTCTGCAAATCTGGGTTGTTGTGCCCTAGACTTAAAAGCGGTTTCACATACAGAACGTAAATGTAAACGGTAAAATGTTGAAATGACAAATGCCAATTAAAATACCCAACCCTTGGATGATCCACTTTTTTATATATTTTTTTGTTCTAAAGTTATCCACCTAATTTTTTCAGCTGATGTCAGTTACTGAACAACTCAGTAAGTTGACGGGACAGAATACACTGATAGCCAAGAAGCCAAAAAAACCCACCGAGAATGATGGAAAGAAAAAGAAGAAACCGAAAGATGTCAGTGCAAAGAACCCGACGAGAAAGACGAAACCAAAGACTGCTAGACATCCTAAAACACACAAGGAACCGAAGTCTACAAAATCAGGACAAAAATCAGTTAGCAAGCCTGCGTCAAAGCGTTCTAAAAGCAAGTAAGTTATGGTTTGTTTAATGTGTAAGAGAATCTCGGTGGGCGGAAGCTAGAGTTTCGTGTAATTCGACTATTTCATGTGATCTTTTGTTAACGTAATTCTTCTTCCAAAGACTTGCACAAAAGAAGAAGAAAGAAGAAATTGAAAGCGAAGATGAGGAAGACTCGAAGGCAATGACGTATGACGAGAAACGACAACTGTCGTTGGATATTAATAAATTACCAGGTTGGTTGTAGTTGGTAGGAACTTGAATAGACAGATGTAGAATGAGGACGGGAACGTCAAAGACGATGAAAATGGTGTGTAATTCTGTCGCACGCCCATAAATGGGCTCATCACGCCAGCTATCCGTCATTTTGACGTCGTCTTTGATGTTCCCGTTAAAGCTAAATCTGCCTGACACCTGGCGAAGTACCTACGATTATTATTATTAAACATAGCTCCCATTTAGTCATAACTCGTCTTCTGTTTCCATAGGTGATAAACTAGGCCGCGTGGTGACTATCATTCAGTCCCGTGAGCCAACACTACAAGACTCAAATCCAGACGAAATTGAAATAGATTTCGAGACATTAAAACCCTCTACCTTGAGAAAGCTTGAAGAATACGTCCAGTCCTGTTTAAAAAAGAAACATAAAGCTCCAGGTTAGTTAACGATCAGTGTTTGTTTTTGTAAGCTGCAGTACTGCGTTATTTTATTTAATTTCAAAACTTCTATGACTGTTTCAGAATTTCATAGAGTAACTGAACGCTAATCTTATGCATTAGATACTGTACGCCGTTCCAGCATTGATGTTAAATATTTAAGCTTGGTTGTTCACAAAATGCATGTGTAAATTTTAGCGTAAATTGTCATTGGAAAGCTTGTCCCCGTATTGTCGAGCTTTACACGCACGTAATATGTTCTTTTTTGAATGAAATCGCTATAAGCGAGTTTTAAGTTGCAAGTTCGAGAACAGGTATTGCCGTATTGGTCAGGGAACTTGTCGTATGACGGGGCGTGTGTCAAGGGTTATAATTAACGAGGTACTACGTATGAAATGTGTCAAACCATTGTAATTTATTTAGCATTGAAGAAAGCGAAATCTCAGGAAGAAAGGGATCAAGAGAATGCAAAAAGACGACAAGAATTAGAAAAACGATTACAGGTAAGTTTTATGCAAAAAGTACATAGAGAATACAATGTGCACATTTGTGATTTCAACGTGCCTTATCTCATTCCAGGATGTCAGTGGTCAGCTGACTGGTGGCGCTAAAAAACCTCCAAAGGGTGGCAAAGGTATAGATGTTTTACCTTTTTTACCTTCGGTAGAAGTGATTTTGTCGAGGTTTTCTCTCATCTGTAACGAACACATCTGATTAGTCTAGAAGAATATATGCCAAAATAAGAATATCTCTCGTTATTACATTGTTTGACATTTTAATACTCATATCGACATTTTAATACTCATGTCGCCACTTGTGAATGTGACTTGACTTTGCAATGCAACATGCTGTGGTACTCAAATGAGGGAACGTATCCATTGTTGTACTTTAAACACTGTCAATTCCTTTGTTTGCAATTTCAATTTTAACTGCGATTTAGTGTGCAATTTTCGTCCTTTCATTGATGCGACGAGTGGTTAATTTACGGATGCTAAAATAAAGAAGCCTATACTTTACCTCGTTCCTAACTAGTCTGCTCCTTTGCATAACCGTGTTCGCATCCATCAAAAGACGACAATCGCGTCGGAGGTCACAAGAAAAATTGAACGGGGCTTAATATGTATCATGATAAGGTTCATATTCGCGAAGGGTAATACTACCGTCTCTTTCCCCACAGGTGATGGTCAGTCAGCTTTGGATATCCTTGGTGATGACGTACGTCAATCTCGGCTGAGTGAAAGTAGTAGTAGTAGTGGCAGTGGATCAGGAAGTAGCTCAGGATCAAGTTCTGGCTCAAGTTCGTCTGGCTCTGACAGCTCTGATTCGGAAGCAGGTAGTTAAAGATCGCGTGAACAGTCTTGTTCCTCCGCATATATATCTATATCCGTTGTCACGTGGACATGCTAAGTTGTTCACGTGAACAACGAGATAGAGATCGCGTGAATGAATAGAACAACGCGCCGTTGTAAATACCCGTTGCTATCACTAGTTAATCTCGTCATCATTGAGATTATTCACGTGGACAACGCTTTTCGTATGGACGTAAGTTCCATAACCACCACAACCACCCATAGGAAACTGAGTTTGACACGAAGCTTAAAAAGCATTCAACGTGTACCGTGTAGTGTTGCAGCTTGTTCCCTTGCATTGCAAAACACGTTTGTATGTTGCCAAACATTGATTGGATTTTTGGTAGGATGCATTGTAGTGGTATCACAGGGCTGCCTGAGGGGGGAGAAAGATGCACGTACGCTTTGTTTCGATCGATGGTGTGTAATAGAGCATGAAATTTTGTGCCCTGTTGTTAGTGTTGTACCATACCGCTGCTTCTCAAATAGCGTACTATAGTAAAGGAGACTGTAACTCGACGGAAAATTATTACATTTATCTTATTAGCCTTACCATTAATTTCATTTTGACCCAGTAGCCTTGTTTTCGTGATGGTATTTGCTAACGTTTCGTGCACATTAAGGTTACGAACTTACGTGATTTTGAGAGTTTGGCATTGCTAAGTACAGTCAAAGATAGGACCGAGGCTATTTGGTCGAAAGTAGTTAAAAACAGTAAGGTCTAATAATCGATCGTGTCATCCAAGTTTGTATGGTAGACAGAAATTGTGCGGTTACGTTTGTTGAGAACTCTGCCTAACTGTGGCCTAACTCTTTACCCTCGAGATAATGTACGTCACTTCCTCAAATTGGTTGTGGGGTTTATTTCGAAACTGGATAAAGTTTTGGCGTGAAAATTATGCATACAAATATGTTTTGGTATATAGCATCGCTTTGTACATTTTATTATCCAATAGAGTAAGTCAAAGTAAAATAAGTGAAGTATAACGCGATGCCCAATGCCTAACATATTTTGTATACACATGCAATTTTCACCGATGTTTCAGAGTACGTCGGTTGTTCGATCATAAATATTTTCTCAACTGTGTGATTTGTGCACGCAAAACATGAGCGTACTAGCGTACATGCCACGTTCATGTTGTTTTACAATGCATCCTAACTCGGAAATCATTAATTCAATCTCTGGTAACGTCCAAGGTGTTGCTGTGTTATTGTAATCGCAAAATGGAACTCTCCCCTCCCCCGGTTTTTGTGGTTGATGGTTCCTGCTGTAAATAAACATTAAGGTTGTATTTGCTTCAGTCATGATTAGGACATTGCTTTCCTACAAGACAGTAGATCTCTCGCTGTAGAACTGCAAATGTAAATAAAAAAAACAAGTACTTATGATCACTGTGTGTCTTTTTGTCTCTCTCTCTAGTTGCGAGTTTCATTTTGGATTACAATACACCGAATTGCGATTCCAAGGCTTTACGAAAGGCTGATCAATAAGATTGGCACGTCCTAAGCACATCCTTGCTATATATATATACAATGAATTACCATTTTGGCCATGAATTCAGAACTGTTTAACTTGACCTTGCAATATCCTTTTCTGTTGAAAAATTCATAACGAAAGAACAACAAATAGCTAGTTGAAACAATGACTTTACAATGAGCCAATTTCATTGATCGGTCACACTTTGAAAGCCTGGAAATGCAAAGACTGCTTGCATTTGATTTGAACCTTTCGTTGACACCTTGCGTTTGAGCATCGTACCATCACAAGGCGGCTGCTAAGCAATACTCACAGCCAATGTCAATATATTTGAGACCGTGCTGAGGTATAACAACTGGTATACCTAGCGCTAGCACAGCGCTACCTCAGGGTAACTTTCAGTGCATACGAGAAATTTTATTTGGGTTAGTTCGATGTTAAGCTACTTCAATATTTTGCCTATGGGTGGGTGCATCCGCGACATGGGTAAACCCGGAAAACGCATCCTGCGGCGCTGTGAATTTCCAGAAATACCATATTGGCGGCTAATCATGTTTTTGTATACTTTACTGGCTATATTTAGACCCGGTGGCTACAACAATCAGAACACCCAATCTGGGGCTCTAAAATAGTGGCGAGTGCTTGTAAAATTTCACGCATGAACAACTCCATTGCGAATTATGCCCGAATTCCTCTCCTCCATATTTAATCGTTACTCCGAAGTCTTTATATTCGATTCTATATAAAATCCCTTGTTATCAAAGTTCTAGGATTGTTGTTTAAGGCTGCCACGATATGTGTGTTTCAATAAGGCTGTCAAGGCCCCATTATGTTCAAGGCCCCATTAGAAATGGTGGTCCAAAAGCCCCGTTATTCTTTTCCCCTCACTTCTACGAATTCGAATTGAAATAAAAATTGAATTAAAAAAATATTCACTATTCCCGTCCTCAATTAATGATAGGAACACTTTTGTGCCAGGTTCCAAATTGTTGCGATCGGATATTAAATGAGTATAATGTCTCAATTATTTTATCGAGACGATATAGAACTCAGCATATGTATAGTTCCAAATGTTTTGGAGCATGTGCGCTCAAAGACGAAAATCCGTTGCTTCTCCCCCCCCCCCCTTCTTTTATTTGAATGCCGTACTATTGGACAGGACGTATCAAGGCACGTTTATATAAATTGGTAACGACCCGGATTTTCTCAGTTTTAACTGTGAGTGTGGTCGATTTTTTAAAAAATATGTGTTTTCTTGTTTTCTAGAAACTGTCAAAGCGAGTGGAAAGACGTCTGAAAATGTCAAGGTAGTAAACTATCAAAACTTGTCAGCTTCTGTATGTTTAACCAATCTGTCCTAACGAAGCATTTGACAACTTGGTATTTTAACTACGTTAAAGTTGATGCTTTTTTGATTTTCAGACAAAATCAAAAAAGTCTGTTGATCAAAAAGATTCTTCAGCGGCCCCAGCAGTTTCAAGTAAGCCACATATCCTAACCATTTGTCGCGAGATAACTATGTTTACACAAAGACGGTGTTACACGATATAATTTTTTGGCAACTTCTGTGATTATTTATACACTATTTCTTGTACATACATTTCGAAAACTCTTCACTGATTTCAAAAGTAGCATTTCATTGCATGCAAGTCGCAATAGCTCGGGGTATAAACACTTGTGAATTATTTTTATCCAGCACTAACATCTAACTAGCATCTTTTATGTTTTAGGCCCAGTGGTAAGCACCCCATCTCCCAGTCGTTCAGTCCAACCTGTGAAGTCGATCTCACCTCCCGCGGCTGTGCTTAAACCTCTTCCTCCCCCTCCTGCAAAGAAACCTCCTACTGCTGTTATCACACCTCAACCTAAACCTAGCCCCGCCCTTACTCCATTACCTAAACCTCCCATTCTCCGTCATACTGCCCCTCCGATTGCTGTGACTAAACCTCAAGTCATCTCTAAACCTGTAACTCCACGCACAATAGACCCTCCCAAACCTGAAAATGTTTCGAAATCTACGGTACCCATAGACAACCCCTCTAGTAAACCCGCCAATACTTCAGATGTTCTTTCCTCGCTACTACCCACGCCCACCTCCGCGCCGAAACCAAAAGTTTCGCATGCCACTAAAGAGAAACCGACTGTCAAAGATAATAATAGAATGACATCAAAAGATAAAACAGGATTTGTATTACCAACTCCAAAGCAGACTACAACTAAGCCGGGTAAAGTAATAATATGCTTCGTGTACACTTGTACTTCGTGTATATTTAACAATTGGACAACGAGTCAGAGTTGTCTATGAGCGAATAGTGAACGAAGGCGAAGCCTGAGTTGACTTTTCGCTCATAGACAACGAAGGCGAGTTGTCTAATTGTTTTAGTATACACCCTGTACCTATGATATATTAATTTCGAGAAAATAATCGATACACCGCAATTACACCGAAAAATAATTTAATTAATTCAATTTTATACGGTCGCGCGAGCGAATTTTTCCCAAACGTTCACCATCATGAATAGACAATGGTTGAGTAGCCAATCAGAATGTAGGATTTGCAATAGACAATAGTCGGGTGTATACTAATAGATTATAGGAATACACCTATTATTAGTTTACCTCCTTCCAAGCTTTATTTTCCAAGGTATTTATAGCTTCTCAAATTTGGCCCTGCATGCATAACCCGTTTATTGTCAATAAAATAGGGATGTATAGAGGTGCTCTCTCTTAACTCCAAAATCTCTCAAGATCAAGAGATCTTGAATCTCTGCGCAACAGACAACAGTCTTTTCTCGATACGTTTCCTGACACATTAACACCTCGTGTTTCGATGAGTAAACTCCCTGGTCGGCCGACCGCACCAGCAGTACTTTAATAAAAGCTGGCATGAACAGCAGTTAAGGCAAGCTCCTTGTCAGAAAATTGCATCATTGTCGATGTATGTATTATTGTGAATAATTCGAGTATTGTAATTAAATACATTACGAATACACGTAAATAAATGAAGGCTTAGTTTAATTAAGAAATTTTCTCTTATAATGTGGTTTATCTTATCGATTTACTCTCAGTTGTATCCCTTTCAAGCTCTTCTTTTCCACTATTTCAGGTCTTGGATTGTCGTACGCAGTTGGCGAACTTCCAAATTCATTGGCCAATCTAGGTAAGCATTCCTCACATGTTGCTTCAAATACGTTTTCCGTGTGACTGTGTGTGTTTTTTATATTCTTTTATCTTCATAACTGACTTTTTTTTATATCTGAATTACTTTAATTCATAACTGAATTTGACATTTTTTACACACAGCGTCAAAACCTGACGGAGGAAAGAAGGTATGACTTTATCATTTTGTGTGTGTGGCAGTATACCGTGATACAGGTCCGACGACACGTCAACGCTGGCTGGGACCTTGGCCAAGTGAAGGATCCCCTTCTAAGCTCAGTGTTGTCTTAGTGTTCCAGTATCCAACAGATACCGACTTGTTGGAGTTACTCTTACTTTTTTTCATGATTTCCAACATTTGACTTCTGTTCTTGTAACAGCCTTAATTGTACATGTTATACAGCACAAGTTACTCAAAACCTCACGGAATACATTCCGTTCCCTTCCAGGATTCGAAGACAAGGCCCACGTCATGGTCCAGTTTCGGATCAGCGGGCTCTCCCGGTGTTCCAAATTCCACACCTGTCTCCAGCTCCGCGTCCACTGAGAGTTTCAAAAAATTCCAACAGCAGGCCCAAGAGAAGATGGAAAGGGTAAGTATTTAATCATTCTCAACAAACATTGAGACGACGCAGTCTCTGTTGTTCATGCATCAGATGATCATTTCTGATAGTCAGACTACTCTCCCTAGTGTCTAGATATCTATGTTAGCAAGTGTCTTCATTAGAGGTTTTCTGTATTAAATAAAGTGCCAATGGTAATATTAGCTAGAGAGAGGTTTCTGGCACTATGAGAGGTCTCAATTAAAGAAAGGTGTCGTATTAAAGAGATATTTCTGTATTAGAGAGAGGTATTTATAAAGGCTTCACTTCATTTCAAACTTATAAGCGATGGCCTAACAGTCTAACTGACGTCAACTAATTTTGCAGGAGAAAGCTATAAAAGCTCAAGAGGAACAACTAAAACAGAAGACGGATGCAAATAAGCAAAAGTTGGAGGAAAAGAGGTATATGGTATATCTTATATCTTGGAGGCCACTATGTCCTGCACCCCCACGAAATTTCTTAACGAAAAAATAACCGGCGATCTGTAAGGAGCGTAATACATGAATTTTTTATTCTCAATTGTTTCTTGTAAATTTTTAAGTTGAAAAAGTAAGGCAAAATCATATTTCTTGAACATCTATGAAGATCTATTTTCTTACTTCATGTTAGAAACGTTGAAGAAAGTGCTGTGGATGGCGAAAAAGAGGACGCTGCGGAACGTCAAAGAGCAATCCAGAGACGTCGAGAGGAGGAAAGAAGGAAAAGACAAGCCGTACGTTATTCATATTTTATGAAAATTATTTTTGTTTTGTGACGAGGCTTTGTCTGTCCAAGCTTTGTTCTTTAATTTTCCAGAAAAGAAACTCGGGCGAAAGATTTCGTTTGGTCGAAAAAATACCGCCTAGTGGAAAACTGCCCTAAACATTTTTTAATTAAATTTTTTAGAAAGCAGCGTCAATTGACATGAACTTTCAGAGTGATATAATGGCGTCTTTTGAGAATACTATTGGATAGAATTGTGTTCATTGAAAGTGAGTCGTGGCTGTTTGTCGTGGTTACGGGTTACCGGTCCACGCTGTGTCGAAATTAACCAAAAAATCCAAAAATAAGGTCCGTGCGATGGTAACGTGTGAGTAAATGATTGTACCATATCGGTTTACGAACCGCAATTTGTCCGCTCTTCTTGCTAGCGAAGGCGTCGTAGCATTTAACTTCACGAGTATATTTCAACATTTAACGTGGTGTACGCTAGCAATCTTGTCGGCGTCTGTTTTTCTCCTTGGCTGTTGGAATGAGTGGCACTAACCCAACCACGTTGCTAGAAGTGGAATTGCATTGACATATCATTCATTCGATCGAGCATGATAAACAAGATCGTCGACAAATTGCTAAGACCAATAATGAGTTGCAGCATATATCATTTATTAGCTATAGTAGTGATTGTATACAAGTATACGCAACCCTATATCTCTCAAGAGCTAAATTTTGATCGCTAGGGCTGACATTTTCATTATTCTATTGGGGTCAGACAAGAGGCCGGTTGTATAAAAGAAGTTCACTTTTAACTACTATTGTTAAATAACAGAATCAGAGCCAGTCAGAATCGGTAACTACAATACAACTACACCTAATGTAGTAAAGAGTTTTATTCAACCGGCCTATAAATTTCTGCGGCCAGTTGTACGAAGCCTAGATAGCCCTTGTAAACATGCTTGAAAAGCAATTAAATAATAAATTTGGAGCCAATAGTTATGAAAGAGGACTCCCAATTCAGGAATACTAAGGGTTAATGAAAGCTATACCTAACAACGCGAAATTATAGAGGGAATGAAAAAAACACTATCCGATGGATAACGCGATCTAGCTTTCGTACAACTGGCCCCTGTTTTCAAGGTTTTTTAAACTCTGGCAAAAATGCTTTATTTTCTGCAAATCAAACGGTTTGACCAGTCTGACCGCTGCTTATGGAAGTCACTCCTAGCATTCAATTGTGATTTTCTAGAGTTGTTAGTGAAGGCATGGTAAAAGTAAATTTATCCGTGCAAAAAAAACGAGGATGCAACATCCCCAGAAAAATGTGTTCTGGGTTACCACCGCAAGCCTCGGTTATTTGCATGGTGCATGCAGCAATATGCTCTGCCAAAGGAGGAAAGGGTTCAAAGAGGCGTTGTTGGAAGCGTTCCATCTGATTTGTATCTGCTCAAAATTATAAAGAAAGAACACGCCTAGTGATAATTCTCACAATTTGAGACCGATCTGAATTAAACCGATCTGAAACTGTGATCATGATCTTTGTCATTTCTGCACTATGTGCACGATGGTGCACGGTGCAATTTTTCGTGCAACGTGCAATGCAATTCTAATTTTGAAACATGTGAAATATTGGCAATTGTTGTTGGCAAATATAATCTCTCAAAATGGGATTGGATTGCACGTTGCAAGAAAAATTGAGTGTAAGGGTCTTAGATCTTGGCAGAATTTCTCTCTGTATGTTGCTACGACAAGACTCAATCACTATCCTCAGCTGGCGCTTCCTCCGTGCGCCAACTTTTCCCAAATTTAACCGGATCTTTTCATGCAAACATAAACTGATTTCATCTTTATAAAGATGGTTTTATGCGATCGACAATCGTATACCCCATGCTACGAGCTTTTGACGCCTTCAAAATCCTGAAGCCTGGCCTGCTGTATAAAATTGTTGATTAGATTACATTTCGGATAGTCGATTCTTAGTTAACTTCAAAACGCAATTAGATTGCACTATGAATAACGACTATACCTTTTTATACACACGGTCACAGCTCTGGGTGAGCTTGGCATGTGCACTCAACCACGCAGAAACTCTGTGTGAGCATGATAGCATATAACAACGTTTTTAACTGACTTTTAATACTCGAACTTGAAATAGTTGGCAGATTTCATTGCACGTTGACATGTAAATAAAAAATCATATAAACCAATATGAAACATTCGCAAGAAAAATAGCTATAATGGTTAACAGTAAGTTCTAAAAATGTTATTTTGTACGTAGAATGTCGGATAAAAAATTATTTATGGTCAATATTTGTGGATTTTTTATACCCAACCATCAAAATGCATTATATAACCGAACTTTCTTATATTAGACTTGTTCAGCACAAAAGAGCCCTAACTCTTTTCATACGAGTTTTGTTCAACATCAGATCATTTTAACGTGGCTCCCATTCTCTTAAGAACATGTACCAGTATACCACCTCTGAATGATCTAACCGTCGCGTGAATTCTAGCTATAAAATTAGTGCATTTTTAAAAACTTTCAAATGCTTTGGATTCAGTGCTTCAGGTTAGTGAACTTAACTTAATTGAATTTCTACTATTTCTTGTCTTGTTGATTTTTGGCCGTGGTGATGGCTTAGTTCTGATTTGATAATTGATTATGATAATCCATTCCTTCACCACATTGCACTTCGAAACCGAAAATCTGAAAACAGCATTTAATTGAGCATGACATACCAAACACTCCCGTTGCAGTTGATTTGCAGGTGCGAAGAAATTATCGATGGTTTTGTGTGTATTTCACTAATGTAATTCACTGTATTTCACATGATGTAATTAAATATAAGAAGGTGAGACCACCCCCAATTATACACTTTGCTCAATTTTGAAATTCATGAAAGTATGATTTTATGTGTTCAAATGCGTTGTTTTCATGAAGTAATGTAACTCTACTTAGTTTTGAGCCATTTTTTGAGGTATTTTGAACCGAATTTTGGGATTTCGGTTTTGATTGTGAAATGCGATAAAAAACCGCAGCGGGTAAAACGACATCGTTTCCATAGCAACACAGTACTTTTAACTGTGAATTTATAGCTAGCTGAGAGCTTCCCAACATTCTTGAAATTGATCCCATTGCCTCTCTTTGAGTATGTTTACTTTAAATTAGGTTGAACGTAAAGGTTATGCAAAATACCTATTTTTTGGAGAACTTTAGCGAGAAACCTTTAGTAAATTAGCTTGTAGGTACAGCACGTAAGTATTTAATACTGCAAAGCTTCCGGTCCGTTAACCCGGGCCTTCATCAGTGCAATATTAAATACTTACGTGGTGTACCTACAAGCTAATTTTCTTATTGATGTCATCATCAAACTTACAAGAATATTAATTTAATTTGATTTTGAACATGATCATGATCCGCCAAAATGGTATACCCGGAACCCTTATCATTTTGTTAAAAATTGACGATTTTGGAAGATTTTCTAAAATCTGAAAATGGCTACAAATACTTACAAAAACAAATCTCTTTATTTTTGAGTATATTTGGTTTGTTTTTTTGAATATTGAAAAATTCATAAGGGGAACCCTTACCATTTTGGCCAAAATTCACGATTTCCGAACATTTTCTGAAATTGTGATTAAAATGTTAAATATGGTTTCAAATATTTACTAAGACTAACCTCTTTGGTTTTTGAGCATCTATACTAATCTCTCTCAAAAATGCCTTCAATATTCAGTAAGACAAATTTCTTTGGTTTGTGAGCATATTTGGTTTGTTTTTAGAACATTGAAAAAGTCATCATTTTTGACCAAGTTTTTGCATTACTTCTTACCATTTTTTAAATTTTCTAAACCTGTGTTAACATGCTAAAAATATCTTTTCTAAGATGAATCTGTTTGGTTTTTGAGCATATTTGGTTCGTTTTTGGAGCATTAAAGAAGTCGTAATTATTAATCAAAATGGTAAGGCTTACCCCTTACCATTTTCCCAAAATTGATGACTTATTAAACTGTGTTAGCATGCAAAAAATAGCTTACTAAGATTAATGTCTTTGGTTTTGAGCATATAACAAGTTAACGACTTTTTCATGTACCCTGTTTCATTGTACTAAAACATTGACGGCTTTTTCATTGTTCCAAAAACCAACCAAATATGCTCTAAAATGAAAGATATTAGTCTTAGGAAGCCATTTTTAGCATTTCAATACAGTTTTTTAACAGTTGAAAAAGTTTTCAACATAGACCAAATTGGTAAGGGGTAAGCTTTACCTTTTTTGTCAATATTGACGACTTTTTCAATGTTCCAAAAACGAACCAAATATGCTCTTAAATGAAAGATAGTCTTAGGAAGCCATTTTTAGCATTTTAAGATAGTTTTTAAACAATTGAATAAGTCGTAAAATTGACCAAATTGGTAATAAGACTTACCATTTGCCAAAATTGACGACTTTTCAAAATTTTCTAAAACTGTAAGACTAATATCTCTAAGACTAATATCTTTCATTTTAGAGCATAATTGGTTGGGTTTTGGAACACTGAAAAAGTCGTCAATTATGACCAAAATGGTAAGGCCTACCCCCTACCATTTTGGTCCATTTTGACAACTTTTTCAACTGTTCAAAAATTGTCTTAAAACGCTAAAAATGGCTTGCTATGACTAATATCTTTCATTTTAGAGCATATTTGCTTGGTTTTTGGAACATTGAAAAAGTCGTCAATTTTGACCAAAATGGTAAGGCTTACCCCTTACCCCTAGCATTTTGGTCAATTTTGACAACTTTTTCAACTATTCAAAAATTGTTTTAAAATGTTAAAAATGGCTTCCTAAGACTAATACTTTCATTTTAAAGCATATTTATTGGGTTTTGGAACACTGAAAAAGTCGTCAATTTTGACCAAAATGGTAAGGCCTACCCCCTACCATTTTGGTCTATTTTGACAACTTTTTCAACTGTTCAAAAATTGTCTTAAAACGCTAAAAATGGCTTGCTATGACTAATATCTTTCATTTTAGAGCATATTTGCTTGGTTTTTGGAACATTGAAAAAGTCGTCAATTTTGACCAAAATGGTAAGGCTTACCCCTAGCATTTTGGTCAATTTTGACAACTTTTTCAAATGTTCAAAAATTGTTTTAAAATGTTAAAAATGGCTTCCTAGGACTAATATCTTTCATTTTAGAACATGTTTGGTTGGTTTTTGGAAGATTGAAAAAGTCGTCAATTTTGACCAAAATGGTAAGGCTTATCCCTAACCATTTTGGTCCAATTTGACAATTTTTTTAACTGCTCAAAAATTGTCTTAAAATGCTGAAAATGGATTCCCAGGAATAATATCTTTCATTTTAGAGCATATTTAGCATGATTTAGTTGGTTTTTGGAACATTGAAAAAGTCGTCAATTTTTACCAAAATGAACCCCTTACCATTTTGATCAACTTTGACGACTTTTTCAACTGTTCAAAAACTGTCTTTAAAAAATAAAAATAGCTTCCTAGGACTAATATCTTTCATTTTAGAGCATATTTGGTTTGTTTTTGAAACATTGAAAAAGCTGTCAATTTTGACAATAAAGGTAAGGCTTACCCCTATCCATTTTGGTCCATTTTGACAACTTTTTCAAATGTTCAAAAACTGTATTAAAATGCTAAAAATAACTTCCTAAGTCTAATATCTTTCATTTTAGAGCATATTTGGTTGGTTTTTGGAACATTGAAAAAGGCGTCATTTTTTACCAAAATGGTAAGGCTTACCCCTAACCATTTTGGTCAATTTTGACGACTTTTCCAACTGTTCAAAAACTGTATTAAAATGCTAAAGATGGCTTCCTAAGACTAATGTCTTTCATTTTAGAACATATTTGATTGGTTTTTGGAACATTGAAAAAGTCGTCAACTTTGACCAAAAAGGTAAGGCTTATTGATAACATATTTGGTTGGTTTCTGTAACATTGAAAAAGTCGTCAATTTTAACCAAAATGGTAAGGCTTACCCCTAACCATTTTGGTCCATTTTGGCAACTTTTTCAACTGTTCAAAAATTGTTTTAAAAATGCTAAAAATGGCTTCCTAGGACTAATATCTTTCATTTTAGAGCATATTTGGTTAGTTTTTGGAACTTTGAAAAAGTCGTCAATTTTAACCAAAATGGTAAAGCTTACCCCTTACCATTTTGGCCAATTTTGGCAACTTTTTCAACTGTTCAAAAATCGTCTTGAAATAATAAAAATAACTTCCTTACACTAATATCTTTCATTTTAGAGCATATTTGGTTGGTTTTTGGAAGATTGAAAAAGTCGTCAATTTTGACAAAAAAGGTAAGGCTTACCCCCTAGCATTTTGGTCAATTTTGACAACTTTTTCAATTGTTCAAAAATTGTTTTAAAATGTTAAAAATGGCTTCCTAGGACTAATATCTTTCATTTTAAAACATGTTTAGTTGGTTTTTGAAAGATTGAAAAAGTGTCAATTTTGACCAAAATTGATAAGGCTTACCCCTAACCATTTTGGTCCAATTTGACAATTTTTTTAACTGTTCAAAAATTGTCTTAAAATGCTAAAAATGGATTCCTAGGACTAATATCTTTCATTTTAGAGCATATTTGGTTGGCTTTTGGAACCATTTTGACAACTTTTTCAAATGTTCAAAGAGTGCATTAAAATGCTAAAAATGGCTTCCTAAGATTAATACTTTCATTTTAGAGCATATTTGGTTGGTTTTTGGAACATTGAAAAAGTCGTAAATTTTGACTAAAATGGTAAGGCTTACCCCTAACCATTTTGGTCAATTTTGACGACTTTTTCAACTGTTCAAAAAGTGTCTTAAAATGCTAAAAATGGCTTTCTAGGACTAATATCTTTCATTTTAGAGCATATTTGGTTGGTTTTTGGAACATTGAAAAAGTCGTCAATTTTTACCAAAATGAACCCCTTACCATTTTGATCAACTTTGACGACTTTTTCAACTGTTCAAAAACTGTCTTTAAAAATAAAAATAGCTTCCTAGGACTAATATCTTTCATTTTAGAGCATATTTGGTTTGTTTTTGAAACATTGAAAAAGCTGTCAATTTTGACAATAAAGGTAAGGCTTACCCCTATCCATTTTGGTCCATTTTGACAACTTTTTCAAATGTTCAAAAACTGTATTAAAATGCTAAAAATAACTTCCTAAGTCTAATTCATTTTAGAGCATATTTGGTTGGTTTTTGGAACATTGAAAAAGGCGTCATTTTTTACCAAAATGGTAAGGCTTACCCCTAACCATTTTGGTCAATTTTGACGACTTTTCCAACTGTTCAAAAACTGTATTAA